ACCACTGCAACGTTAACTGTCTCTGACTTTACTTCCGACACGCAAATATTGTAACAGTTATGAATTATGATATGAACCAGGCGTCCCTCAGTAAATGTTAATGTGTGATACACACCTAACGTTACCTGCATGAGCACGTCTGGTAACCTTTCATGACCTAACGTTATGTGAAACCCAATAGGATGGTTTCATTTTATTTATATAACTCCAGGTTCATATCAAGTTATTCCATTTCACTTTTCATTTAGAGCAGACACAGACTATAGTCTATAATATTGTATACAGACACTCAGTAATTCCTAAGTACCTGTGGTAAGTTAACAGTAACATTTAAACTGTTTTTCAGCTGAACATCTCGTTCCCCGCTACTGGCTGCCAGAAGCTGATTGAAGTTGATGATGAGCGTAAGCTGCGAACCTTCTATGAGAAGCGCATGGCCACTGAGGTGGCTGCTGACCCTCTGGGAGATGAGTGGAAGGTACTGTGATGTTCTGTCTGTGATGTAGTGTTGTCTGTACACAGTTTACGTTTTAATTTGCTGGAAATGTGTTATATAGTCATCATACACAATGTGGCACACCAGTAGACCCTTTCTGACTGATGTATAGTCATTAAGGGGGGACAGTGTGTTGCCAGAGAAACCAGAGAGCTGCTTACCAGATACAACCAGACCATTTAACCAGGCCTGACTGTAACGGCATCGCTCTCTCAATTACCTTGCATCCTTAGAGAAACTGCTAGTTAACTCAGTAAGTTGAAGTCTAAATGTGGGCAGGAAAGTAATGCAAGACACTGAAAAATTTAGTCTAAAAGCCAACATTGGGCTTGTCATCTGAAGAGGTCAAAGGCCTGGGGGAATGGTTGACTGCACGTAAGCCGTTGGCCTGGCAATCAGGAGCAGTTTGGGTTCAGTGTCCTGCTTAAGGATACGCTTGATATGTGGACAGGAGGAGCTAGAAATGAATCCACCAAGCCTGCATTTAATGAACCACCTGTCTTAGCTGCTTAGCCACCTCTGCCTTGCTTTTAAGTGTAATTTATAAATGTGAGTATGATCTTTGTGCTCTGTAAGCAATCCTTTATTTTCAGACATTGTGTAACCTAAAAGGAAAAGCAGTGAACAACTTTTCTCTACTTCTGCAGGGTTATGTGGTGCGCATCAGTGGAGGCAACGACAAGCAGGGCTTCCCCATGAAACAGGGTGTGCTGACCCACGGCCGTGTGCGCCTTCTTCTCAGCAAGGGCCACTCTTGCTACCGTCCCCGCAGGACTGGCGAGCGCAAGCGCAAGTCTGTCCGTGGCTGCATCGTTGACGCCAATCTCAGCGTTCTCAACTTGGTCATTGTCAAGAAAGGTAGTGTGTTCTGTCTCGCTCATGTGGACTGTTTTATAGGGGAAATAAATTAGGTAATGAAGCAAACTATTAAGAAGTAAACCAACAGATACTTCTCAATGGCTGCACAGTACAGGCTTATTTGAGATGACAAACTTGGGTTTAGAAATGTCGCTTTACTTGTAAATGTTTATGGCACACCAGTAGACCCTTTCTGATTGGTCGGTAATCATTAAGGGGGGACAGTGTGTTGCCAGAGTAACTGTGGAGCTGCTTACCAGATGCGACCAGATCCAGGATCAGTGGATGGTTGAACTGCATTGCTCTCTCATTGTATCTCATGTTCACTAATATTGGAATAAACGGAGATCTGAATGAGTTAGGGTTGAGCCGATAGAAGCTGTCATCGTCCATACCCCAACCACAAAAAATTTACCTTTTCACATTATACCGCCCAGTGAAAGCATGTTTTAATCCCCATGGAAATTAGTAGGATATTTTTAAATCCACCTGCTTTGCACCTGCCACTCACTCACACACTTAAACCTCAAATTTCTTAATGCAAACGCACCGCCTTGCCTCGCCTCCGTCTTTCCCCCTGCTCAGTTAACTTTGTCCATCAGGATGTTTTACAAAGTCGCCAAAAGACACAGAACTTTTTTTTTTGTGGATTTTGTTTGCCCACAATCCATTTTCACGGCAGCAGGTACGCGGCATGCCGGCTTGTTAATGACGTAGCCTATCAAATAATGGAAACCAATGTTTTTGTGAGTGACATCTGCACTCCAGTGTTCACTGTTAATTTACCTGGTCCACGCTTGTAAAATATCCACCGTGTCGGCATCTTGTAACGTACCTGGGATGTCCGCCCAGGCAAGCCTGTGTGGGGAACGCTACCTGAATAAGACGACTGCTACTGGTAATGACTTAATACAGTAGTGTTGCCAGAAAAAAAGTTGTCAAAAGTGTGGCCAGATTTCCACAGTGTAGGAAGTCTCCCTAGTCATCTTGCAGGTTTGTGCTGCAAGCAGCTAAGAATTCAACACTCAACTGCTTTAAGTCTAGACTTTTGTTTGTAGTGATTGTACTTCATATGTAAGCGTTACAATTTGTAAGTGAACTTTCCATTAAGCAACTTCATCGTTTGACTCATCTTTTCCTGATCTGGTTGTTCTTAGGTGAGAAGGACATTCCCGGGCTGACCGACAGCACAGTCCCTCGCCGTCTTGGTCCCAAGAGGGCCAGCAAGATCCGCAAGCTCTTCAACTTGGCTAAGGAGGATGATGTTAGGCAGTATGTTGTGAGGAGACCCCTGACTAAAGAAGGTAAGATGAGTCAGTTTTTACTTAAAGGATAAGTTTGGTATTTTTCAACTTTGACCCTATTTTCCCATATTTGTCTGTCTGTAGCTCAATACTGGACCAAATTCAAAACATGTTGTCCCAATTAGTCACAGACAACCAAACATGGGGGGGGGGGGGGTTGATGTCCACTGAAGCTTCAGTATGTGCCACATGACTGTCTGTGCCATTAGAGTGAGTTATCGGGGATGTAACTGTTAAACCCCGTTCTTGTATAAGTTGTTTACTTTGGCTAGGGGTTTCACTGAGCCTAGATGTTTAACGCTCAGTATTGGCCCCTTGCCTGCATCTATAAAACCACACTGTCCAACCCCCTTTACCACACCTGGCACATCCCATGACCCGGGTTCAATCCCCACTGTGACACATCCACCAATATGTCCCTGAGCAAGACCCTTAACCCCACGTTGCTCCAGAGACCTGACATATACAGCAATTGTAAGTCTGTTTGGATAAAAGTGTCAGTTAAATGAATAAAATGTAAATGTAATGTTTGCATTGTCCATATTCTCTGCATCCCTTGTCTTTGGTAGGCAAGAAGCCCAGAACTAAGGCTCCAAGGATCCAGAGACTCGTGACACCTCGCGTGCTGCAGCACAAGCGCCGCCGCATCTCCCTCAAGAGACAGCGCACCCAGAAGAACAAAGAGGAGGCCTCAGAGTATGCCAAGCTGCTGGCCAAGAGGATGAAGGTAATGTTCTGTTTCCCCCCCTCTTATTACAGCGCTTAGCCACTAAGAACAGAAGAGGCTTTTTGTGAACATTTCTCTTAAAACACTACTCAAATAACCATGAAACATTGGTATGTGGTTTCAGGTTATTCAAAGAAACTTTTGTGGTGGCGTAGTCTCATAGGTGTAAAGAATTGCCTTTAGCAGTAAACCTCTGCATTGTTGCTGGGTAATGTTGATGAATCCTATGATGTTGCTGTGAGATGGAAGATTTAATTTGTGTGCCAGTGGCAGCTTTTTGGGTGTGTTAAAACATTTTTACTGACACACATTTGTTCCTGCAAACAGGAGGCCAAGGAGAAACGCCAGGAACAGATTGCCAAGAGGCGTCGGCTTTCTTCTCTGAGAGCATCCACATCCAAGTCTGAGTCCAGCCAAAAGTGAAATCAAAAAGTCAAATAAAGTCATGTTTTGCTGAAACTTGCCTGTGTAATAACTCAACCCCATTGCCTATAAATATTAAAATGTACTTTACAGGTTTGCCAGTTGAACTAGTTTTGAAATTAATAAGTCAATGTTGGGTGCCTAACCCAAGTAATAGGTAATTGGTTGCAATTTAAGAGCCAAAACACTTGGCGCATCAACTGTAAAAAAAGGAAGTGTTCTTAAATTGTGAATTTAGTGGTGAATTTTGTAAGGTTACTTGCATTAAATACCAAACCAGAAGATTCATGCTAAAGTGAGTTTGACAGTCTACATAAAATGGAAAGAGGTGCTCTTCAGTGTCATTTGTAAAACAGGGCTGTTTGAAGCTACACTTCTTGCTTAACGGCAAGAAAAGGCCTTGGTTGAGCTTAAATCTAGAATAGAGATTTGATTTTCAGATGTCCTCATTGTTCTAGATGAACTGTCAGTGCAATGAGCTTTGCACTAACTTCCAGTGGTCATTTGTACACAATACCCAATTTAGGCCTGCAAATCAGCCAGTCATGTGGCAACTCAATGCATGAAAGCAGACTGTCAGGTTTTGTTTAGACCAAACATCAAGTGTGATCTACAGCTGTGTTCAGCCTGCAGGCTAAAGTTGCAAAGTTCTGTGGTCTTGTTTGTTCAAATCATCTCAGCAACATCTACGTTCAGCACTAAAGCTGATACACGGGGCAACTTTGAGCAATCTTGCTATCCGTTTTGAACAAATAGCAGCGGTGTGGTGGGGGAAGGGGATTACCGTAGTAATCTTTACTCATTACTGTTAACATTGCTCTAAAAGTTGCTCTGTGTATCATCAGCTTAAGGCTTGCTGTGTGAACATATCCAAGTGACTTTGGCCAAGGCATGACTGTTTGTGCCAGATGGGGACGGTTTGAATCTCAAATCCATGTCAAAGCACATCATCCCAAACTGGCTCTAACATGAGAATGACTTAAGTGTACACCAGTTGTCAATCCAAAAGAGCACCTTTTGGGGTTTGGTGGAACTTGAGGAAAAACAGCATCACTGTAAAGAATTCAGGCAGTTCTGGGAGCCCTACTTAGGATTAGATTACATTAGAAAGGTGTACCTAATGAAGTGGCAACTGAGTGTAGGCTTTACAGTATTTTGTTTTCCCTCAACAACCGCCAGACTCAGAGGAATCAAAGTTCATGATATTAAAGTTTTATTTTATGACAATTTGCAGTTGCATTCTCTTAAGAGCTGTGGCACAGCACACATCTTTATCAAATAATAACAGTATTCTATCTCAACGACGAACACATCCTTTAACATTACACCCTCGGTCAAACACGATCTTGGTCGGCCGCCTCTTTCGGCTTATAGGTGTAGGTTGTTGGGGGACCTGGACCACATCCTTGTGAGATGATGTGGTCTCAGCAGCATTGGAACAACTTTCATCCTGATTAGACTGGTGTTTGGATGGCGGGCAGCGTAAGTTATACATCTGGGACATAAAGAAGCACACAGACACAAGCTGATGCTGCACATACCGAGGCAGCCCATGGATGCTCCAGGCCAAGGTCACCCAGTTGGTCTGAAGGTCCTGAACCAGACCTGGAGACCTGCACAAATTCTCAATGACCTGTTGAGCAAAGGACAAAAAAAAATTACCTTTTAGTTTAGTTAAAAAGTTCAATTTAGCAAAAGATATTTCTCTTGGAGGTGAAAAAAGTTAATCAGGTGAGTGAAATGAAAATGGGTGCAAGGTTATTTTTTTCCCTTTATCAAAAACATTTTGACACAGGAAAAGCACAGGTGTAAATAAGACCGATGACGACATTTAGCTGCATCAGTTTATGGTCCTGGTACTGGGTGCGCTTGCTCACTGGGACACTTGAATAGAACTGAGCCAGTGTTAATGATCTTAGTAACAACTGTGCTATTCATGCTGTGACAAGTCAAAGTGGCTGCTGTGAAAAAGGCCTATTATGTGGCCAGCCAATGGTTTCATTCATTCATTCAAAAAAAGTCAAATTATGTTGAATAAAATAACGACAATTATATTTCCACTTTCTTGGCACGAGTTACATGTTTAAGTGAACAGTCACATTAAACTTGTACAACTGTCACTGCAAAGAAAAAAGGTGTTAATTGTGCCAAAACTGGTGAATACTTGTTCTTGTTAGGGTTCAGTCTCGCAGTTGTGTTTAACAACCACATTATTTCCTAGATAACTCCATTATGAAATCTCTTTTTATATAATTTAATGTTCTGTTTGCTTCAGCAATGCGTGAGCATAACTAGCCTACTGCTTCAGACTCAACCACCCTTCCACCTCTTGTTAAAAGGGAATAGTTTTAACATTTTGGAAAATGTGCTTATTCATGCTTTCTTGCAGAGGTAGATGAGAAGACCAATACCACTTTAATCTCATCATCACTGTGGAAACTCCATGAACGTAAAAATACTATTAAAAGATGCCAAAAAGTCAAGTTATCTACTGGCACATAACTCCTCCTAAAACCACAAGTTGTCAGTTTTGTGTGAACTACACAAACGAGATATGTATAAGTTGTGAGCCTGGTATCGGATATCGTCTTACCTTAACACAGTTCCCAGTCTTTATGCTAAGCTTACCGACTGTAGCTTTATATTCAATAGATATTAGATGACAGGAGTGATACCTCTAACTCTCTCTCGCAAGAAAGCAAATAAGCGCATTCCCCAGTGTGTCAATTCCTTTGAACGGTCCTCACAGCACACCTGAACAGATTGCATCTTGGACCCAACCATGTGGTAGGTCCTCCTATACAGCTTGGCAGCCAGGGAAACCAGTCGCACAGAGTAACTGCTCCTGAGTGTGGCTGCCTCAAAACCCTCCAACAAGTGAGCTGCTTCTTCTGTGAAGTCAGCGAGAAGATATTGAGTGACAAAGGCGAGTTTAAGTTCTGAATGTCACATCTAGCCATTTGACATCAGTTAAGTCTACATTACTCTGTGTACCTTCTTCTTCTTCTTCTTCAGTGGGAGGAAACACTCGGTCCATCAGAGCCTCTGACATGATCAGAGTAGAGTCCAGTCCTGCACTGGCCACACTGATGGTTCTCTCAACAAGTGACTGGTCATCAGCCTGCTGTATCCTTCCGATCAGCCATGTGACTGTGTGCTGCACACAGTCCATAGTTCCGCTGGCTGCGATGTTCACCACGGCCTGGATCTCGTGCATCTTGTTCTTTGCAGTTGCAACAATCTGTTTGAAACAATGACAGAAACAGGACAGACAATCTTAGATTCTTGAGCAGTTTGGGGAGAATAGTGCAGTTATTTTGTGGGGCTCGTGAAGATTTGAAAGAGGAAAGGTTACCTGCTGTGTGGGTGTGTGAAGCACTGGGAACACAGTCTCCAGCCAGTCAAGACTTTTACATGCAACATCATTTGCAATGGAAACTGTGGAGATATTCCAGACAGTGAAGCAATTATTAGATGCTTTCTCATTTCTACAATAAATGGCACCTGCAGTCTTCTTTTGGCAGAGATCTTGACCCTGTAACTTTATTATCTGCATCATCTTTTTGATGAAAAAGCAACATAAAAAACAACAACAAAAAAAAACTATTAGCCCTTGACATAAATTATTCATTTGGGTACACATACACTAATTGTGCTGCTAATGTATGAAACATATTTTAGCTTTCTTCAGGCTTCTGTCCTGAGCTTGTCCTGAAATAGAGCCCCCAAAAACCTTATGCATGTTAGAACTGAACAATTAACTATTAGTCAATTGACAAAAAAGAAACAATTTGTAGTTTAAAAAAAAAAAAAAAAAGTGTGTGTGTTTAAGTGTAAGCTCACCTTTGGATTCTGAACTAATGGTTGGCATCTTGTGTTGGAGTGTTTCTCACAAATGTCTGACATTTTATAAACAAATTTGGTTATAACTGATAATGAAAATAATCGTTAGTTGCAAGTTTCCTTTAATCCACTGGTCACATCCAAAGTAGGCTACATCATAAATGTTAGCAGTATGCATAAGAGTATGACAAGTACAGCCTGAAATGTAAGCCCTCACAGTAGGCTACTCACTCTGGGGCTCCAGTTTATGAATGACAGGGGAAACTCTGTCACAGGCTGCTGAGCCTATAGCGGTCACACTGCTCTCCAGCACCTCACACACAGACCTCAGTTTAGGGTGGGTGCTTTTAGTGTCGATGTACAAGACCGACAGCTTGGTACAAGCAGAGTGAACCATGGGCATCTTGGCCAGTCTGGCAGCTGCAGTCTGTACCTTCTGCAAGAGAACGGCAGACAACAAACTCAAATCCAGATACACTCCTTGAGGTGAACAAAATAAGTGATGTTTTAATTGATAAACAGTTGTTGTGAAGTAAAATGTGCGTAGACTATTGTGCTCAAAACCAACAACCACCTTCAAGTTGCCGAAATAAAGTATCAAAATGGAAAACCCCAGTTCCAATAGGCTAGATATTTTTAGGGACCTTTAATTGCTGCGTTTCGCATCTATCACACTATTTTCTACATGATTCAACGGGAAGATATTGTAAGCAACAAACTGGGTTAAAAAAAACCGCAGAAAGACAAAGCAATTCAGGCGTTGATGCAGTGTGAGTACAGGTGAAGAGGGTTAGTCTATCTGGATTGTAGGCTACTCACCTGGTTGTTGTTCGACGGCATATTTAGTAGCCTACACTTTGATAAAGGGGGGAAAGAAGCGGGCTTAATATGAGTAAACGTTAGAAATGTTAACTTCTTTGTGGACTTTTGTCATTTTAAGAGGATGATAAAGAAAATAAAACACTCACCCTCCTAGGTAGCCTACTGCTTCGTAGGAAAACCGTCGCTCACATAAGGTGGTGTGTAGGTAATTAGCGCTCACCTGTGCTAAATGCTGCTCAGAAGCTCTGGCTGTTCTCGCGATATACCAACGATGGTAGGCTATGAGACATGATGATACGAAACAATGTTCCAGTTATTAAGTAGCCTATTTTTCTGTCTTCGTCTTTTGTGGTAGGCTTCCTAACAAAGGTGGTTATGCAACAACAACAAAAATTATTATTATAAAATGTTTTTATCTAATTGTCATGAATAGTTAGCCTATATGAATGTCCAGGAAGTTCAGGTTCAGGAATTTAGTGCTCAACCGATATTCAGTTTCCTAAATTTATTCTGCATATAGCCTATTGTATAATTATTCGTTGACACATTTCACATTTTTGCAGTTTAGCTGATCATCCATCTGTGCACTGACTAAAATACTCCCAAAAAGGCCTAATTGTATTTAATTAATGAAGTGGCATCAGAAGAACACTATTTTCCCTATAGGTTACCAAATAAGTTATTTCCAGGACAGGCTAATTATTTGAAAATTATCATGAAGACATTTGTCATTGTAGTTTCTTACTGTCCTTGTATGTTCATTCGGTTCTTTGCATATTCACCAGAATTAATGCCATCACACGATTCATCGCTGCAGGCTTGAACCTGCGCAGGGAAACCCCATTGGATTTCGATTCCAACGCCTTAACCAGTCGGCCATCACAGCTGGATAAACCGAGCGAAATAGTTCTTTCAACGAACAAACGCATCTGAGTCTGCATTTTGTATACTTATAATTTCTGACCAGTAATTGCTTTAGTGAATGAAAGATGAAGGTGTCCCGGAAACCGATGTCAGCTTGGGAAGCCTGTTGCAACTTATTTGATAACCGCCATGAATTTCAGAAACACATCGAAACGTCAAACAAAACTCCCCGCCAAATTGCACCTGATTTCTGCAGACCACTGCAGTGATGAGCCAGCCTGCTGTTTTGCGCCTTTGAGAAGTGATCCACAATGAATGCTGATTTTAATGCGGACGTCCTCAATAGGACACAAGGGTCAAATAAATCTGCCATCACTGTCAGCTGAGCAGAGCTGTGAATATCACATGCAGCAGGCCCAGGAACACAAGCCCGGTCTAGTGTCAGTGACCAGACTGCTGTAAACATAAGGCTGCAGGGAACTAATGCCAATTTAATGTACCAAACAGCCACAGGAGTAAAGCAGCATAAAACCTAATCATCTCCAGCCGGAAGCTAAAGCAAGACTGTTCCATGTATTAATGATCAAACCAATCCATCTCCACCTGACTTGCTGCATCCTAACTGATCAGATTTTCTTAGTTGTCAAATATTATTTACTCATGTTTAAATCTTCTAGGGTTTACTTGTCTTTATTTGTATTTATCTGTCACAATGTGGGCAAGCGTCTACTGTAGTAGTGTGATTTGGTTTGCAGTTTTTAGTTTTTCTGTTGTTCTGCAGAATATAGGCTGATACATGCTCCGTCATGGGTTAACGAGGCTCCTGCTTATACCAACAGGTTTATTTACTGGTGTGGGCCTAATAGCAGAGGCAGCAAGGTTAAGTAAACGCTCTCAATGAAATGGCAAAAATCGTAGCTGATTAACACTCACAACCCACTACAGCGCCATACCCGCAACGTGTGATTACAGGAAGGACACTGATGGCTGGTTATCACTTTGTATGCGGGGATTAGGTTAGGCAAAGATGCACACAGCTCTACATCTGCATATTGATGAGCAGTGAGCTGATTTTCCGGTAGATGACGTTATAAGAGAAATGTTTTGGCTCGTGCACAATTGTTCCTGAAGGTGAGCACACTCTAAGCCACGGGATTCTGTCCGTGGTGCTGATGCAGGCTCCTTCACACAACGTGCCGAGAAAATGTTTCTTCTTTGTATCGGCATGCGTCAGGGAAGGAGGTGCGCTGCTCCAAGACTTTGTGTGGCAGCTGCAGTCACAGGGTTTGGGGCTGCTGCCCGCCGCAAAAAAATGCGAGACACAAGAGAAGCACGTGTAGTGGGTGGTCCCCGGCAGACGACTTTCACGTGGCTCTAGCGAGCGCCGAGCCGGAGCTGAGCCGCCGCCGTTTCAGTCCGGTGCGGCACCAGCAGGAGACAACATCAGCATGGCTGCGGAGATGGAGCCCTCAGAGTAAGTGTGCTTTCCTTTTCTTTTCTTTCTTTCTTTTCTTATTTTTTGTTTGCTAAATAATGAGTTTTCAGTGATAGTTTGGTGATTATAACAGTATGATAAGACCACCTGTGTGACTATGCTAAAAGAAAACATCGGTGTTTCTTAAATATGACAGAGGCGCGTGGGTCTGTTATGGACACTGAGTTTTGGGCTACATTACGCATTCAGTTGGAATATTAGTTGCATCTTGACGGCCTCACTTATATTCATTTAGCTGAGACGAGATGCGTCATTCAAAAAGTTCCTTCTTTCAGTAAAACGTGATATCTCTCTTAGGATGTGACACATGTGCCTGCATGCTCAATTTAAAACAAACAACTATACGAACCTACACATAGCGTTTACACCTGCAAATTTACATTTCTATGACGGTGTTTATTGTCTGCATACAGTTTGTACACCCATGTGGCTTATTTTGTTTAACTGGTTGTGGAACCTCCCATCCAGTCGCTGATAGGCTTTCATTAGGCTACTGTTTATTGTGGTCAGCATGCGACACATACGGCCATTTTCGCATGTGAGGCTGGTCAAATGAGGCTGGTCAAATGGTCGCTTTAAACCAGTTAATCTGATGTTCTTTCTGATTCTGCAGAGAGAGACAGAGAGAGAGAGAGTCCAGGCTGTTTTGCAGCCACTATAAATATATAGTGTCTGTTTCCTCCACATGTGCCTGTTGATCCAATAGGCTCTCCACGCATTGCAAGGATGTGGGTTTGCAGTTTTTATTGGTTAGTTATTTAATCTTCCTGTGGGGAAAAGGTGGGAGGGGAGCACACATTGTTGCCAAATTGAAACTGGTCTTGTGCTGGTGGCTGGTTTACTCATCTCTCTGCACATGTACATGTGCACGTGAAAGACTTTAAAACGTCCTGCAGGGTAATGCTGATGGAGTGACAGCAGAGGGGGAGATGGAGTGTTAAAATGCCCGGCAAATGGCTCTGAAGTGGGCCAAAATCCACATGAAGCAGGATCCCTGCTCTTGTCATGATGATTATGTTGCATATAATCGGTTCTTTTGACAGTTGTGCCAAACAATGGCATCACATGTGTGAAAATAAAACAGTGTTTCAGTGTCCAGTGGATAACTCACAATCATTAGACTGTGATTGAAGTGATAAACGCTGAAATTTGCAAAGATCAAGATACACCAAAAAAAAACCATCATGTGACAACACAGAATCTCTCCTACGGAGAAATGGTATTGGTGGTGGTGTGTATGACCAAATCCTGAGCACAGACTGCAGCTGGTAATTTAACTCTCATAGAAACAATGTCAATGCTTGAATGACTTCACATTTTTACTTGTTACTCTGTGGGCCTACACGCATTTGTAGGTAGGACTTTCAGTCAGCATGGGGTTGTAACATTAACCTTTCTTGTCTAGCGTGATCCGCCTGATAATGCAGTACCTCAAGGAGAACAACCTCTACCGAACGCTGACCACCTTGCAGGAGGAAACCACCGTCTCACTCAACACGGTGGAAAGCATCGACAGTTTCATAGCAGATATAAAGAGCGGCCACTGGGACAACGTCCTGCTGGCTATCGAGTCCCTCAAGTTGCCTGATAACACACTTATTGACCTTTATGAGCAGGTGAGCTTTGCACTGATGAGCTTATACTCTTCTTGCCTTGATTTCTTTTTTTAAATTAGCAGCATCTGATGAACGCTGATCTCGTTTAACAGGTTGTAATGGAGCTCATTGAAATGCGAGAGGTGGGAGCGGCTCGCTCTCTCCTCAGACAAACTGACCCCATGATCATGTTAAAGCAGACGCAGCTAGAGAGGTACATCCATTTGGAGAACCTGCTAACATGCTCCTACTTTGACCCCCGAGAGGTAAGACAAATAAAGGTTTCTACTTTTACACAACTCCATCACTAAGCACTTTATAAAATAACGTACGCTAACGTACTCTTGCTTCAGGCGTACCCGAAGGGCAGCAGCAAGGAGAAGCGGCGCAGGGCAATAGCTGAGGCGTTGGTGAGGGAGGTCAGCGTGGTGCCCCCCTCTCGCCTCATGGGGCTCCTGGAACAAGTTGGCGTGAGTATACCGATCAATATCTCTCTCAATACTCACTCTAATTATATGAGGGACGCCATTAAATCAATGTCCACAGCATCCCAAACTATCTTCTCTCTTTCTCTCCTTTCACTACTGTACACACGGTGTGCCCAACTTTATTAAAGGTTCTTAGTGATGGTGTCCTACATGAACACACATTTTCTTGTTATTACAGTTTTGGTAAAATCACAGGAAAGAGTTTCCTTTTCTTTTCTTTTTTTTTTTATACCTTGCCTGAACTCTTCTCACTGGTTTGAAGTGGGCAGGGCCAGATAAAGGTGATGTGATAAACCTCTGGGTATCAATCAGAGTTTAGCAGCATCAGACAGTTGTAGGGCCGTTTGCTCATGTTGCCAGATCACAAGTAAGTGTGTTTTTCATCCACCTGTTTTAGCTGGAATTTCAGATAAAATCTGCACTAAATTTTCACGGAAACTGGATTAATGTTAATCAATTCAGATCAAACTGCACCCACACAGTCCTGATGAAGAAGATTAGCTGAGCTGCTGAACTCTTAATAAATAATAACTACGGATTTTGTCTATCTCTGAACCATAACTTTGATTTTTGCTCATTTAGGCATGAATATTTAATGTTAAATATTTAATGAGAAGTACTTAAGATTTGAAAACAAATTTTCATGTGCTTTAATGATTTCAGTACATAAAAGAAATGCAGTCATTGAATAAGTCCCAAACCATCAATTTAATTTGTTTTTTATATATAATTATTTGTTCAATAGGTCGATTAATACATCCCACTGTTTCTTTGCTATCTTTGGTATTTAAACAGAGAGAGCAGTACCTTTTTCCCAGGGGAAGGTTCTTGCATTTGTTATACAGCCTGTGCCAATGCAATATACTAATACTAACGAGTATAAATTATCTAACAAAGTTGATAGTATGTAGGCTGTATTATACAACATATTGTTGTACTAAATTATAAAGCTGCCATTCAAACAGCTTGAAATTTGAAAACTTATCAAGAAGCGATTTTTCCCAAGGTTTTGACTTTATTTCTTTGTTTTGAGAGCGCAGCATCTGTTATTCACAATTTAATTGTGCAGTTTTCAAGCTTCTTTTCCCCCTTGCATTACATTATGGGATAAACAACACTTTATTTAAAAAATCAACTACTTTGAATCTTCAAGTTAGCATTTTTTAGTATTCCAACACTTGATTTTGTTGAGATCGTGACAATGAAGAAGTTAAATGGCAAAAACTACTTTATGTTTTCTGCTGACTGTTCCCCATCCCTGTTCCACACAGTCTATGAGACTAGAGCAGTCGCCGGGTCATCTCTCCCCCGAAATGGCCATTGAAACGTCTGGCAACAAAGAAAGACATGTGGAGAAAGAGAGCTTTCCAACGCAGCTGTACCGTCACATCAAGGTAAACCACGACTAAGTGTTCACCCTAAAATTTAATGATTTACATTATGGTAACTTGCATTTTTGTCTCCAAAATAAAGTGAGTCCCCATAATCTCATGCACATGCGCGCACGCACACACACACACACACACACACACACACACACACACACACACACACACACACACACACACACACACACAAAACTAATTACTTTACTCACCTGAAGGCACTTGTCTTAGTCTCTGGCTGTGCTTTCATCACTTGCATCCAGATGGAGATAGCTGAATTGTTTGTCCTTGCTTTTCCTCTGCCCAGGGTTTTGAGTAATAATGGTCAGCCCACACAACTTTAGACTGCAGCATGGTGGGAAAACTTAATACCTCCCTGGGGTTGCCTGTTATTAATTTGTGTTTATTTATTTCTCAGTGCACCTGGATCACAGGCAGTAAATCAAACAAGCGAGCGTGTTTTCCTTAGAAGATAAAGGAATGTTAATGAGGTGTTTCTGTGTGTCGTTTGAACCTGCAGTTTGGACGGCGGTCGCATGTGGAGTGTGCCCGCTTCTCTCCCGATGGCAAGTACTTAATCACTGGATCGGTGGACGGGTTCATTGAGGTCTGGAACTACAACACAGGAAAAATAAGTAAGGTAAATATGTTTAATATTATGACACTTTACTATACTGAGACTTCTTATTCCAATTTATTGTGTTTACTTTATTTAAGTTGGTTTTGGAAACTAATTCCTGTTTATACATTTTAATTGGATAATGTCTATACTATTTTGGAGCATGTTGTCTTAATCTATTAATATAGTTTGTATGTTTTGTTTTAACAATGACTTAATGCTGCCCTCTATGACGAAAATAGATTTGAATCTTAACAAGACTGTTACCTGTTTAAATAACAGGACATTTAAAAAATGTGTAAGAATATTACAACATGTATATATTATAATGTATATATGTAATATATATTTCCTTGTTTCTCTGTTCTATACGGTTGTGTGTGTGTGTGTGTGTGTGTGTGTGTGTGTGTGTGTGTGTGTGTGCGTGTGCGTGTGTTTGCATGGATGAATTAGGATTTAAAGTATCAGGCCCAAGATAGCTTCATGATGATGGATGATGCTGTGCTGTGTATGTGCTTCAGTCAAGACACAGATCTACTGGCAACTGGAGCTCAGAATGGCAAAATAAAGGTTGGCTCTTATAAAAGTATCTTCCGATACTGTCAGTTAATTTTATTTACTTACAACAATTTAATGTTAAGTCTTCTTATTGTTGTATGGAAATGGAAATGAGGGCACAACAATGTCAATAATATAGATACAATTATGTAGTGTTTTCAGCTGAGTAGTCTCATTGCATCTTCTCTCCTACACTGTATGTATGTGTGTGTGTGTGTGTGTGTGTGTGTTGTTGCGGAAGGTGTGGAAGATACAGAGTGGCTTGTGCCTGCGCAGGTTTGAGCATGCCCACAACAAAGGTGTGACCTGTCTGAGCTTCTCCAAAGACAGCAACCAGATCCTGAGTGCCTCCTTTAACCAGACCATCAGGTGGGATGTAATGCTAACATGATGTCTGTGCAAAGTGAACACCCTGTAGATACTTGACATTTTCTGATATGCATAGTACTGTAATTACAGTACTCATGAGTTAACTTTACCTAAACACGTTGTGCAAACATATACATTCTGTGTGGAGGACTTTGAGACTTGCAAATGATGTTACAATGAATTGGACAATAAACAGTGAGATTACAGGAAGTCTTGAATAAGAATAAGTCAATATATAGATAAATGTTTCATATTAAATAGATGGGGGGCGGAGGGCAAAACTGAATCAATACATAATACAGTAAATTAAATGTTAGTGTTTAAAAGTAAAGTAAATACCTGAATTCACAAACAATGTACCAATAATTTTGAAAGACAAAAACAAAACATGGTGGGAGCTTTGTTGTGGCAAAACTTTGCTTGTCCGGTGTGGGAGGAAGTGAGAGCTCTCACTGACCTCAGACATGATTCACAAAAGTTTTAAAGGCGCACACATGAATATGAGTTCACCTTGAAAGCAGTGAGCTCTTTTTACATCCCACAGTGGATTAGCACAATGTTTCTACACCAGACCATATGAATAATATGTGAAAGTAGAAAAGTAGATGGGAAAAGATTTGGCAAAAGAAAATGCAGATTTTAATTTCCTCCCCAAAACTGTATAGTTAATTGATAAATTTGGCCGTTTCTTTCTCTTTCTCACCCTTTTTCGGTTTTCTCAACAGTTTGGTAGAGTGCATTATGAGATGTGATATTATATTAGAATTAATTTGCACCTAAACTGAATGAGCATCTAAGTCCAAAAAACCCCATGGTGCAGTGTGGTATTCAGAACAAGACCTAATCAGGTGTCTTTCTTCCAAGAAGTTAGCAGCAGAGTAGTCATGTAGCCTATTTTCAGAAGGTTTGCTGAACAGAACAATGTAAATATATACCACCCAAAAAGTCTGACTATAAAAACATGCTCAACCAATATTTTAACAAAAACCGAATAGTGCCATCTAGTTATAAACGCTTATCAGTATAATACATGTGGTGGAATTTCATTTTATATTTGTAGAATTTTTGTTTTTGGTGTAATTCTTGGGAAAGTTTTTCAAATTAAAATGATTATTTTATATGTTTTTTATTTGTTTTGCTGTAAATGGACATATCAACCATGTGGTAGAGGCTCATAATAAAAAAAACTATCAGTTAAAATTAGTGTAGTTTTAGTAGAAAAGGGACCATTATGAGCTGTATTATCAAATTGATAACTCTACAAATTCTGTTATTTATTGAAGAATCTGTTAATCAATTTTTTCTACTTTTTCTTCTTTGTCCAATTAACCATTAGTTAATCTGAAGTGAACGGAATAGCTTTTTAAACCTTCGAAAAATCTCCATAATTTCATGCAGATATCAGACGTCAGCAGTTTATGCTTGATGTCATATGGTGCTCGCATGAGTCATGCACCTGAATGTAAATATGCTGGGGCAAGGATGTCTGCCTTTCACTTCTTCTCTCATAGTCACACACACAGACACACACAGTGAATCCCCTTTTTGAGGAGCTGAACATCTATTTCTGACTCCCGGGGGTGTGAACTGAGCCTCTCTGCTGTGTTGGAAGCACATGTGCTGTGTGGGTGTAGCTGAGAGACCATGTGCTCAGGCTCAAAGCTGCAACGTGTTCCTCCCTTTGCAAATCCATGCGCTGGGAGTCTGAATTGTTTACATTTGCTAAATCATCCTCCCAGAGACGGAGTGAATCAGTGAGCATTAGCCGTTTTGTCATGGTTTGACTAATCCGCACTCAGTCAGTCCACAGGAGCTAAAAATAACACATCGGCTTCGCAGCAACACGTTTTGTCTGCTCTCAAGAAAAATGCCGTCTTGAGTTGAATAAACATGGATTTATTCATGAGTCAGAGCTGCTGTTTATTGGATTTAGTATGTTATAACAGCTTTTATGTTTGTCAATTTCTCAACAATATCATTTTCAGAATCCATGAACTGAGGTCAGGCAAGACACTAAAGGAGTTAAATGGCCATTCATCGTTTGTAAATGATGCATCTTTCACTCAAGATGGATTTCACATCATCAGTGCCTCATCTGATGGCACAGTTAAGGTACAATGAGAAAATAATTTGACTATAATTCATGTCTGTGCTGCATCAGGATTATTATGTAGCTGGGAAAGTACTGTAACATAATGTCATTTCCCAACCCTGGGATTCATGTGCATATTTTAGATTTGGAATGCAAAATCGGGCGAATGCATCCACACTTTCAAATCTCTGTCTCGGACATCAGAGCTCCCCGTCAACAACGTCATTCCTCTGCCCCAAAATCCAGAGCACTTTGTGATTTGCAACCAATCCAACACGGTGGTCATCATGAACATGCACGGTCAGGTGAGCTCTCTCTTACATATAATCCATACACGAGGCACTTTCATATCAGGATTGACTGTAGTTACCACACTAGAAGTCTGTCACATTCATTATATATTATTCATATTCATTGAGTCACCAACAATGCTAGTGGCTCTGTGAGGCTTTGGCACAGTGTGACGCTTGCAGCTAAATGCTAATGTCAACATGCTCACAACAACAATGCTAACATGCTTATGTTTTGCAGGTATAATGTTCACCGTCTTAGTTCAGTGTGTTTTAGCAGGCTAACTTTTACTAATTAGCATTAAACACAAAGTGCTGCTGAGGCGGATGGGAAGGTTATGGGATCATCAAAGTGGTTACTGTTCATCCTGAGAGGAACATGGATCTCTGTACCAGCTCTCATGGCAATCCATCCAACAGCTTTTGAGATATTTCAGTCTGGACCAAAGTGATGGACCAAATGACTCATGACGCTTTGAAAACTCCCATGAACAACTCACATTGTTAATTACACCAACTCTAGTTGTGCTATAATACCCACACGATACTGATCTTAGTAGAAGCTAAATGTCTTCTTCTCTTCCTCCTCAGACTGTGAAGACCTTCAGCTCGGATAGAAAGGATGGAGCCAACTTTGTGTGTTGCACCCTGTCACCCCGCGGGGAGTGGATTTACTGTGTGGGAGAGGACTTAGTGCTGTACTGCTTCAACTACACGACGGGAAGGCTGCAGAAAACGCTTACCGTAAGCTCTGCTGCTAATATTCAGTCATTATCACAGTCTGTTAGAGGAGGCAGCTCAACCACGCTCAGCGGCTGCCAATGTTTTTTTTACCTAGCTCTTCCTTATCTCATTTTATACTCTGACTTTGTCGCTGCTGCTGTGTAGCAATCCTACTGAGTTCCAACAATGAAACAGGAAAGGCTGGTGGGAAACAGAGAGTGTGTGGTGATCTCTATTCCTCTGCGCTCACAGGTTCACGAGAAAGACGTAATTGGCATCGCACACCACCCACATGAGAATCTGATTGCCACATACAGCGAGGATGGCCTCCTACGGCTATGGAAACCTTAAACTGTCGCCTGCATTGTGATATGGAGGACCCAGAGAGCCTTACACTTGGTCATAAAGTGATTCATTCATTTCTATACTTTACAAATGGATACATTCTTCCATCAGTAAATTATAAACCAGTTCACTGATTGAGAGAACAATCTCACCACTAAGTCTATTCAGTAGCTGTTCTGGAGCTTTAGGTCATGTCACATGATCTTCATCAGCAGATTTCCAGTTGTCATGGAATTGTAGATGCTAAACTCTCCTGAGCACTTCTTGTAAATGGTGGCTTAAAAGCTGAGGTTCCAAATGAATTTCTTTTCCTCGGAAACAGCAGTTTAGAAAACAGTCAGCTCCGTGGCAAATGGGCAAACTCCATTTGCTGATGAGCATCATGTGACTTGACTGAAAGCACCATAACAGCTACTAAATGGAGCCTGTGGTGGCAATGTTTCCTGAACTGCTGTTTCCAAAGTCAAGCATATACTTGGAACTTCTGCAATGAATTGTTTATTTTCAATGTCCACAAGTTCAGGTGATAGCCAATGCAAGTGTCTGTTACGTCTGATGGTGGATTAGAAAGACTGTGCATAGTGTACACATTGGGAAAGTGGCAAAATAATCCAGTTGACAAATAAAATAAAATGTTAAAAAAAAAAAGTAAAGAGGAGGCAACTTGGTAAATCAAAATGAAATAAAATAATCCTTTCAATCTCTCTTAAAAATTAAAGGAACAGGCCATCAATATTCTATATTATATAAGACCACAACCAACTATACTTGATTATACTGAAGATGTATATCTTTAAAAGTGGGTAACAAATATATAGTTTCTTTTTCTTTTTTTTTTAAATGCTTAATAATTTTCTAAAAACAGCTGGGCACTTCAGTTTGTAGCAAATGTTAATCAAACAAGAGTAATAATGCATTTGTTGACTAGTTTCAGCTGTGGATTAATACACATTCGGTGCTTTAGTGAATATTTACAGCAGTAGGACGGTGCGGGGGATTGGCTAAATTAACTACAGTACTCATGTTCATGGAAATAATGGAACATGTCACCCTGGGGAACGCTGTGGCACATTGACGTGTTTTTAATAGTATTTTGACAATAATGGAGGTGTATGGCATAGAGTAATAAGCTATATCAGGCTTTGGCTACACAACAGAAACTATTTTTGTATTTGATTTATTGATTGATTGATTAATTTGTCTTTCAAAGGTCTTTGCTTGATGAATTTTAACAGCACTGTCTAGGTCCTCCATACTGTACACACACTTCCTTGTGGATCCAACTTTACCAGTGCAGTTTCAATCCCCATTTTCATCTCTTCTGTCGTTATTAGACATGAAAATGCATGATAGTGAACTGTCGTGAAAAGATTTATAATAAAAACTGCCTCTTGTTTGGGCATAAACAAACAATATCAGGTATGTGATTTGTTAGCTTTGGTTTATAATGATACTTTTGTAACTTTGATTCAATGACTGATTCTGTTTTGTCCTGCATGCTACCTCAGTACACTGTCTAAATGTGGCCGATCAATCGATTCAATACTCCTTAAAAATATGCATGATGACTAAAGATAAACCTCAGTGGAACTCCAGTGACACCTTCTGTATCCTGTGTGTATATAATAAATGTATTTAACGTAGTCACATTATTGTCGGTTTGCTGCATATACTGTAATCGGTGTTCCTGTGCATCAGTAGGACGTGTATGCCTGCAAGAAACACAGCTACTGCCTCGACCAGTATTTATTCACACAGCACTATCTGGTACCATTTAGCATCTGTCTGTAAACTATCATCCATATGTCACTGCTGCAAAATAATGTTTAATCATTACACTGTATTTTGTATATTCATTATGTTGTATATAAAACTGGCAGTCATGTCAAAAATGATTATCAATAAAAATATAAAAACCTTTACAGTTGCAGTGTTTCTTCCCTTCATGACAAATTACATTTTTCAGTTGTTGCAGTTCCAAAAAGCTGGATTGAAAAAAGCGTGAAATGCTGACTTTCTGAAAAGTTGAAAAATTCTGAAAGAGGTTAATTTATGCTCTCAGTACTTGGTCGGGGGGCTCTTTTTCCACAAAGCACTGCATCAATGCGGTGTGGCATGGAGGTAATCAGCCTGCAGCACTGCAGAGGTGTTATGGAAGCCCGGGTTGCTTTGATAGCGGCCTTCAGCTCATCTGTGTTGTTGAGTCTGGTGTCTCTCATCTTCCTCTTGATCTCCATGGGGTTAAGGTCAGGCGAGTTGGCTGTCTAAGCAAACACATAATACCATGTTCTGCAAACCAGTTACTAGTGGTTTTGGCACTTTGGGCAGGTGCCAAGTCCTGCTGGAAAAGGAAATCAGCATCTTTGTAAAGCTTGTCAGCAGATGGAAGCATGAAGTGCTCTGAAATCTCCTGGTAGACGGCTGCATTGACTCTGGACTTGATAAAACACAGTGGACCAACACCAGCAGATGACATGGCACACCAAATCCTCACTGACTGTGGAAACTTCACACTGGACTTCAAGCAACTTGGAGGTGGTGGCTCTTGATGCACTGACTCCAACGTCAGTCCACTCTTTGCGAAACGGCTTTGATTGACAATCGTCTAAAGGCTGCGGTCATCCATCCCTGTTGCTTGTGCACCTTTTCCTACCATACTTCAACCTTCCAGTCAACTTTCCATGAATATGCTTTCATACAGCGTTCTGCCAGCAGCCAGTCTTTTAGCAATGACCTTCTGTGGCTAACCCTCCTTCTGTCATGTCAGAAGTCAGAAGTTGTGTGGACTGAACCAGAGAGGAGAGCTCTTCTCAGGTCAACACTTCTGTACTATAAATTCTTTATTTAATATTTTGAGATATGAATTTTTGATTTCAATGAGCTTATTGCCATAACCATCAAGATTTCAACACAGAGGGCCTGAAATATTCCACTTTATATGTAATGAATCTAAAAATATGAAAGTTTCATGTTTTGAATTAAATTACAGAGAAAAATGAACTTTTTCCACAATATTCTAAATTCCTGTGATGCACCTGTAAATATTACTCACACATAGTAATGCAAAAAATTTGAGACTGTCACACTGCATTTATTTAGAAAACATGAGCATAAACAAGATCATTGGTCCTAACACATACAGTCAAATTAACAACTTGACAACACTTATTTGAGTTTAACTTGAGTTGAGTTCCCCTGACATTGTGAGTACTCATAAAATTTGCATCTGCTTCAAGAACAAATGTGAAACAATTGAAAAAAGATTCTCCCTTCTGGTGAGAATAGTTACAATATCCAAGGCAAAAAAGAAAAAAAGAAAACCTGCATTAAAAAGTAGCTTCAAGTTAAGTTATGATAAGGCTTTCAAACAGGCAGACACAACAATGAGGTATCAGATGTGCCCTCCATAACCTCCCACCAACCCATTTGGCATTTACAATTAGGACTAGAAATACAAAAAAAACAACAAAAAAATACATTTTATAGCGTGTGGGCCAACATTAGCAAAAAAACATAAACGAGTTTATCTTGCTACTTTGATTAAAACTTGCAATTTAAATTCCAGATTTAGGCCTTATGACCATAGAAATAACGGACTTTATCTTCAAATGATTTTTTAAAATCACATAACTGAAATAAAGGTATCTTGATAACTTATCCAAGTAAAACCCCAACAACGCACATCAAATCTGGAACATGAAATCTGAAACCTTCCCTGCACTGTTAAAAAGAATGTGTTAAAACAAAGTGACTTCTTATTCGTCTTTGACCTTTTGTTTTTTGAATACCTACCCTGCCATTAACGGGAGACATATTGGCTCATATCAAACTTGTACACATGGGATGTTCCACATACCACACAAGGTTTCCAAAACAAAAACAAATGTGTGGGCATCACCACAGACGACTGATTGCAGCTCAAAAAATATTAAACTAAATTAGCTTGAGTAATCTATAATTTAGTGGCTTGAACCTACATACCGCCAAGTCTGAGTCATTATCACCTTTACTCCCAACTTGAGTCATCTTTTCAAGATTGTTTAGAAATGTCTAGAAAAATAGCCCTTGAAAGGGTAAAACAGCATAAATGTTTTCAATCGAGTCTGGGTGCATATCCCTCTCCACCACCATCTGAAGATTGGGTCTTCACACGCAACAGACTTAACAAGTAATCAACAAGTGGTTCACAACATCTGATTTAGTAACACTTAAAAAAAACAAAAAAGAAGATTATTTTCATATTAATATTGGCATCAGTTTTAGTGTAACTGCATAAAAAGCAGGCAGTCTTTGTTTAGACAAAGAAGTTTTTCTTTCTCCTGAAACCTATGTAATAACAGCCCTCGTGCCTCTAATCACAGTGCGATTGGAAAAATAAATGAATATTTGAAATAAAGTCCCAGAGATGACGAGAAATCCCATTCACCCACATCCAAGTTTAGTCCTGAAATTTGAAGGTACTCTACTCTGTCCAAAAAGTATTACACTAAATCGGGAGGTTGTTGGGACACAGTATTATGATTTGGCTTGAAAGAAAACGGTTACGATTTTAAGAAAAGTAATTAAATAAAAAGTGCACAAAATTCCAGAAAGGTGCTTTGCTTTAGAGATGAGGGAATAGGCTTCTGGAATAAGACGGGGCCAGTTGTTATTTAAGACGTCTGGCACTGCACACCTCCAGTGCTAGCGTAGTCGTCTTCATCCATGTAGTGGTACTGATGGCTGTGTCTTTTTCTGTTCTCCAAGTCACAGTCCTCCAGGTCGGCGTAGATGTAGAGGTCATCGTCCATACTGTCTGGCTGCTCTGCGTCTCTCTTTTCTGGGAGGTAGTGCTCCAGCTCCTTCAGCTTGTCCTTGGGGAGAAAGTTGGCTTGTGGGAACACCACCTGAAGAAACAACCGTAAACAACTCGATTACAGCAACCATGTTCACAGTTCTGTACAGTGACCCAAGCTTTACATTACAAAGACTCAGACCATAAGGCTTGAGTGCAAGGTGAGGGTTGCTATGATATAGTATAGGTGTGGCAAGTGTGTGGTTTATTATTACAGGACAGGAGATGAGCATTTTGTGCATGTTTGTGTGTGTGAGACTGCTGTAGATTTATTTTCTAAAAAATAGATTTAGATAGATTAGAAAATAGATTTAAACAATTGGGTAATGAAAAGGCTCCTTACCGAGAAGTGAATAATAAGACGTCCCTTCTCAAACGGCCTGCGATGCATGGGCATCCCTTCATTCAAGACGCACTTCGTGTCTCCAGGCTTGATCAATTCCCCTGTGATAAAAAACACAAAAAAACAAAAAAAAACACAGGCCAGCATAGCCATGAAAATCTGACAACAGAAAACTTTATTAAACTACATTCTTTTTTCATTTTAAAAAATCTTGCCAATGCCTAATAAAAGCAGAGGGACTCGGGTCATCATTTATTTATTCTCAGTTTAGGTAAATGGACTGAGTAAGAAATTAATCTATTTTGGGGGCTTTACAGTAGAGGGAAAGATAAGTACCTTAAAATAAATATAAAAAATGTTTTTGGTAACAAAAAAAGTGTAGTACAAATACATATTTATTTATTATAAATATTGTTCTTCTACCCATTTTGTTATATATCATTTCAGCAAATAGTTTTGTAACCGTTTCGGGGGGGGAAAAATAGACACTGGATGCACTCTTTCGTAAAGCACCAGACCCCACCAGTGGCTCAGATCTGATGCAGAAGTTTACAAACGTATCAGATTGACCGATTTAAAAGGCCATTAACATTAAGCAGCTTAATTCAGACATTTTATCAGTGGAGCAACAATACAGTGAAGTGCAATGTAGAGTGTGCAGTCCCGAAACACTTGTGAAATCAATCACCTCTCCACAAACGCATTGTACAACACAGAAGAGCAAGAACGTTGGGTCGGGGCTCGAGCGCTAAAATGCAGATTAAACAACTGATGTCTGTTAGGTTAACCAGCCCTTTTAACTAATATGAAAATCACTCAATTAAAAATAGTGATGGAATCTCTTATTCTTATTCTAGTCTTATTATTATTATGCCTGCATTCACAAGGCCAATAAAAAAAAAAAACCTCTCTGCAGGCACATCTGAAAAGTGGGTTTCCAGCCCTGTACTGCAACTCTTACACATCCTGCTGTAAATGTTAGCCTAATTTTCTTTAGTCACCATCAACTTTGCTAAATGTAACACGTTTCTCCCATCCAAAATGACAAATCTTATCTAAAGCCACTAGTGGCTAGCATTAAATATATATTGTTATACTGTAGAGAATAGTGCACATTCTGAAATCTACAGGATTATCCAATGTGTTTTTCTGTTTTAACCACTAATACAAATTCCATCTAAACTAACATGTTACTGGCTAAAATAACCAAGATTTTACTCATTATGGAATATAATGGAATTATCCATGACATGTCTTTACCTGCTCTGCTCTCTAAATATCACCTGTCACTGAAAAACTAATTTCAGTCGACCTAATTATAAAACAATTTTTGCTTTCCCTCATCTTAGTGATTCGATACATATCATATAATAATCACAGTAAGATATTAAGTCTGACTGCCAACTGAACGTCTGAATTTAAAAGGATTGCTGCAGATTTAATGAATTTGTTTACCTGGATGTGAGGTGATGAGGATTGTTCTGTTGTCCAGTGTCTGAACTGGCTTCTTGAAACCACACAAAGCCTCAACCAGCTGTAACTGCATCGACATGACCAGGTCCTCTCCTCTCCTGAACAGCAAAACAAGATGGAAGAAAAAAAATCCAAAACAAAAGCAGATATGATTTTACTGGGTGGACTGGATGTTTTAAAAATGTAAAGTGTGCTGCTATGTAGCGCTGCTATGTAGCGCAGGTTAGCATGCCAACTACTAATAAGTGTAGATTTAATAAATATGTAATTCTTCAAGTTTTATTAAGTAAAATGGGACTTTGACCTCTGGTGAACAGAACTGTTCAATATATTCCCGGTACATACTGTGTATATTTCTCCTATACACATTGCTCTCATTTTATTAGAAAATAATTGCATCATAACTACATCTGCCAGCACAGATTACATCAGAAACAAGGGACTTGATAACAGAGAATATATTACCTGGTGAAATGTGGATGTTCTCGCTGGTCCAAGACAATGATTATATCGCCTGGCTCAATTCCTGGCTCCTGGTCTCCCTCTCCATGGAAAACGATCTTCTGGCCATCTCTCATTCCTGTGGCAGTTAAGTGACAAAGTGATGAACTTACAATATTTGGTTTTCTCGTTTGATCTTCAATCTAACAGGTGCATTTAAATAAACTCTCCCTTCACTCACCTTTGTCAATGTGGACCTCCAAGATCTTCTTCTGGCGCAGGATCTTTCGACCCCCACATGCTTTGCAGCGGTCCTTGTGGCTGATTCTCTGTCCTTGGCCCTGACAGCTGTGGCATACTGTGGACACTTGCTGGACCATACCTGGTATTAGTTGATGCATGCGGACTTGCATGCCTGTGCCATGGCAGGTCATGCACATCTGTGCAGCTCCTTTTCGACTCCCACGACCTGCCAAGTACAATTATTTTCTGGGTCAGCACACTGGTTAACAAAATGAAGGCTATTTTTGTTTTAGGTTTGGCTTTTTACAGGATATAAACTGTGGTGAGCAAAGACTGGATCACTTTTACAAGACTGTATTGTTTTTAGACAAAGAGCCTTTTTACTGCCTGCTTGGACCTGCGTGTGCTGAAAAACAACAGCATGTAGAACGTAACTTGCATTAGCAAAAGACGTACCTTCACATCTCTCACAAATAGTATTCTTCTGGAGAGCAAGTTTTCTTGTAGCTCCATTATAAAGATCTTCCAGCGTCACTGAAATCTGATGAACAATGTTTTTTCCTGGGGCAAGACAAATCACATATATTAGCAACACAGTTTCTCAGAATAAGGTTGTGTTTAATAACCGTTTCCTTTCATGTTACATACTAAACATGCTTAAATAAACAAGCCTAAACTGTGATTACATTTTAGTTTAGTTTTTATATATCCAGGATGTATTTAATAACATAACATGTTAACAGTATATCATAACTTATAAGTTTTTGGTTTTGCTGTAACACTGATAAATAACTTTTGGGAGGAGGGCCAGTTAAAATTGTCTTTGGGCCAGTAAGGCAAGGATTATACTTTTCACAACAAAAAATCGTCAGAGGGTAGGGACTGTGCAGACGTCTGCGAGCCTCCCGAGATTTTTGTGACCGCGCAGACCTGTCCGCAGACTAGCACTAGCAGGGCACCAACCTATTACTGCGCATGTGTGGAACATGTCCGCCAAGCTGACTGCAGAAAGTAGTATAAACAGAAGTAGTCCGCGTGGTCGGTAGCCGTCCGCGTCCGCTCGAGGCTTAAGTTTCAAACCCACTGCGGCCAGTTGCAAAAAAGTTTAATGTTGAACCCTGCCTCATAAATACTCATATTTTACACATTTCATGGATCCTCTCAGCTCCGTGATTATTCCTCTAACATTTCCGTACCTTTTCGCTCTCTGTGCATCCGACTGCCGCCACCAAAAAACAAGTCAAAGATGTCCATGGGCGATGCAAAGCTCCCTCCACCACCACCACCGGTGCCTCCTTCCTTTATAGCTTTTTCACCTCCACGGTCGTATAGCTCTCTCTTCTTGGCATCTGACAACACCTCGTATGCCTGTGAGATCTGCTTGAACTACAAAGACAAGAAACAAAATCACATGCTTCTTTGAAGAGAATCAAAAGGCATTGCTTAATATCCAGCTGTTTAAAATGTATTTAGCTCTTTGATACTGTGTGCAAAAGGATAAGTGAACTGATAATGACTGAGCTCTTCAAATATTACTTTTACCAATGTAACAAGAACATTTAGATAAATCTCCCAAAGAGCAACAAAAATAGAGGTGGTGGGTTGGGTTTGTAAAATATGACGATAATATTCATAATTATGTTTTAATTTGTGTATAATGACCTAAAAACAAGAATCGTTGTGTTTGCAGTTTGAGGTGTCCTGTCAACAGTTTTACAGATGTCTTTTAGAGCCTTTTTCCACTGCATGGTACCAGCTCGACTCGCATCGACTCTACTTGCCTTTTTTTGGTTTTCCATAGTGGAAAAGTTGTACCTGTACCTGCTACTAGGTACTTTTTTTTGTATCACCTCCGTCAAGGTTCCAAGCGAGCTGAGGTGATACTAAAATGTGACGTGAAAACACAGTAGATTATTGATTGGTCAGAGAGAATCGTCACTATTCACTGCATCATCATCGTGCGCGCCAGACAGAGGCCAGCAGCAGAAAGGCCGGCCAGCCGCCTGTTTACAGAGCCCTCTGGTCCCACTGTCACAACAACCGCTGCAACAACGGCAGCTGTAAGGTCTTCATATGGTTTATCTGTCTTTACATTCTGAGTAATGTTGAAACGTTTTAACTTAAATCAAGAGACAGCTGTATGTGGTTTGCGTGTGTGTCTCATTGAACATTATGTTGCGGCAGTTGTGGTGGCGTTGCTATGACAACCAGCTACATTGAGGGGTACCATCTCTGGGTACTATCTGCAATGGAAAACGGAGGACAGCGAGCCAAAACCGAGTCGAGTCGAGCAGAGCTGGTACTGGTAATGGAAAACCGGCATTATAGTGGTAGCCTATGGGGAAAAAACTTTTTTGGGCCGCAGGGAAATTTTTTGTTGCAATAGTGACCACTAGGCAAAACTGGAAGCAAGGATGAGCGGCGTCACTGTATCCAGTTCTAATGGCCAAATCCCGGCTTATACACTTACAGACTCTGAGGCGTGTTCCCGTTAAGTCAGTATCAAAAGCTGCACTAAGATGCAGCAGCACCCGAACACAGCATTCACTCATATCAGAGGACATCATCATGTCACTGGAGACCCTGAGAAGACGGGGTTAATAAAGAAGACGTTAAAAAAAGGTGAACAAATATGGAAGGAGTACCTTCAAGAAAAAAGAAGTTTAAATCTAAGTATTAGGGCTGGGCGGTATATCGGTATAATGAGGTATACCGATATAATTTCAAGAGATATAAAATTAGACAATACCGTTAATACCGATATAGTTTGATGTTGAGTTAATTAATATATGTTTCCGTAACATCCTGCCAGTGTTTGTTACTCTCTCTCCCTCACCGCGCAGCCCCACCCCTCCCTCTGCGTCTGCACGCAGCAGTCTACTCACAAACTCTCTAACAACATGGAGAGGGACACAGTGCTGGTCGACACTGCCGAAGACCTGGCTTGTAAAAAAAACAAAAAACAAAAAACAATGGTTCAGTCAGTGTTTCCCACACTTAACTAGGGATGCACCCAAATGAAAATTCTTGGCCGAAGCCAAAAGTGAATATAATGAAAAACTTTCCCGAATACTAAATAGTGAACAAGGTTTTTAAAAAATTTTAAAATTAAAATTTATTTTGCCTTTTTTTTTTTTTTTTTTACCGTTGCATAAATTAAATAGTCAAAATGAGCTTTTTACTCATGTGTTTCCCACAGGATTTGGAGAGACTATGGTGGGTGATAAAGTAAATTTCATGTTTCCATTTATTAGGGCCTGAGCACGAACCATGTGAGGTCCCTATTGAAATTTAAGGGATTATTATTATTATTTTTTTTTCTGCAAAGTAACCTCAATTTTGGGGGCTTAAACATACTCAAAAAGTCACCAAACTTTGCAATAATTCAGACGCGGTGAAATTTCATATTTTATGGGTTTCGAGCATGGGCGTGGCAAAATTGCTCGCTAGCGCCCCCCCCCCCCCCCCGATCAATTTCAAACTCTAAACTCATTGATGATTAAAAATTAAACTGTTATTACAAGTCGACCAGTTTGCCCGTGGCGTGTCATCAAAAATTGGTGATTAGCCATGAAATAGGAAGTTGCAACTCAATACACATCATCACATCTGCACCAAATTTTATAAGTATAAAAATAGTCCTGCTCTAAACACATCCACATGCCAATATTTACTCGAAGTCATAGCGCCATGAGGCCGTGATGTAAAACTTGTGAGTTTTCGGTTAACGGCGTGGCAGTGGCATGGCGGCGAAGTCCTACGCTTCGCCATGACCCAGGAAGTTGTTGTAACCTGACTGTAAAAGCTCAGATCTGTACCAAATTTTACATGTTTAATATCAGTCCCGCCCTGAACACATGTACATGCCGACATTCACCAACAGTCATAGTGCCACCTGCTGGACAAGAACGAAGCAGCCTCCGTAGCACGTTTCACCTGTATGAAATTTCTGTGACACATGTAACATGTCCAGACATACAAAAAAGCCTCTTGGAGCAATGCCTGACACCCAACAGGAAGTCGGCCATTTTGGATTTAATGGTCATTTTTTGCCGATTTACACACTTTGTACTTTAACAAACTCCTCCTAGGGATTTAGTCCGATCAACTTCAAATTGTCGCTGGACACTCTAAACCCATTGACGATTAAAAGTTAACGGTATAACGGTTATTACAAGTTTGCATGTGGCGTGTCATCAAAAATTGGTGATTCGCCATGAAACAGGAAGATGTACAGATGTTCAGTACACATGTTCACATCTGCACCAAATTTGGTAAGTATAAGAATAGTCCCGCTCTGAACACATCGACATGCCAGTTTTCACTCAAAGTCATAGCGCCACCTGCTGGCAACAGGAAATGGAACGTTTTACGCTGTAATGTGCTACTCCTAGCAGGTTGGACATATCAACTTCAAAACTGTCCCAGAAAACCCATAACGCATTGATGAAGCCATGTTGTAAAACTCGTGACTTTGCAGTTGACAGTATGGCACACAACAGGAAGTCGGCCATTTTGAATTTCATGGTTATTTTTGGATTTTTACACACTCCATACTTAAACTCCTCCTAGAGAATTAGTCCGACCGAAATCAGTTTTCCCTGTCTACTCTAAAGCCTTTGACGATTAAAAGTTGTACAAACGGTGAGTTTTCCCCATGAAGGGGACACAGGAAGTGATGATTAACACGTTTGTTCAGCGTCTGAAGCGCACTGGAAATTCAAAGCCACACTGGCAGAGCTCCAGAATCTGCAACACGGCCGCCTCACACCTCGATGCGCTACATGTGCGAGGGCCTGCCCAACGCTGCTTGCAGCTTTAATTTTTAATGTACTCATATAATTTGTGTTGTACTTTCTGTGAATATATTCCAATTAATCTTATTTCCATACTGTATAGTCACCTTATTTTGAAAACCGGACGTTGTCACATGTATCTTCGCGCTAAATTCATCAAGCCCGACCCAATTTGATAAATGATGTTGTATGTGGATCTCGTATTGTGCAACATGACGACTCCATAGCCTCACTTCAGATAGCACTCTCATACTGCAACACTTGTCTTTGTAAAGAGAAAGTGACAGTGGTTATGTGGATGTGGTAGGAGACAATTGAGCAGAACTGTGTCCGCAAACGGCGATTTTTGGTTCTTTCTCAGACACTTTAAAATGCTTTCACATTGGCGACATGTCAACATAATTGTTCGATAAAATTTATTCGGTCTTTTGACTTATTAGGCCGAACACTGAAAGTGCATTTTTTTGCTACATTCGGTGCATCCCTACACTTTACCATGGCGGTCCAGCCAGGTTAGGCGACATATTTTAGCATTTATAAGAGAAACAGAGTGATTACGTTACAAAGCACGACACAGTGACTATTTTACAAGAGCGGACCAGGTGAAGTGACAGTGAACACAACTGTCAGATGTTATTCATTAGCTACCACGTTGGTTTTGTTTTGATAAGCTACGTTGTTAACTCGCCTCCTCAACATGCGGCGCTGCTGCTGTGAACGGAATTGGGGTGGAAAAGTCCCGAAGACACGTTCTGTTTTTTTCTGGCGACTTTATACAACGTACCCTACTACTGATGTAAAAGTCACCGGAACAGATGTACAGGGAGAAAGGGACTGAAAGAAGCGGGGCACGCTGACCTGTTTGCAGCATAGGTAGGCTATGTTAGGTCTGTGAGTGTGAAGAGAACTGAAGGAGGCGGATTCAATAAGTGAGTTACACTTGGTGGAGAATGAAATATAGTTAAAAGGGTGAAATAATAAAACAAGCCAAGTTACTACAAATAGTAAAAACATGCCCGCTAAACCCCCCAGCCCACTTAGCATAAAATACCGTTATATATTTTGTAACAGAATTCTGCCTAACAGTAACGGGATATGACTTTTTGGTCGCCCAGCCATACTAAGTATATAATGCTGTTTGCATGAAACTGAGTAAATTAGTTATTTGCATCGTGAGTCGGATGTAGACGATTCTGAAACAGTTCACAAATATCAAAAGAATTAATGTTGACGGAACGCAAAAGCGCAGCACCCGGGTGCTGCTAAACTAACTACTACTAGTACACTGTGCACACTGTGTGAGCATGGTAACACTCATCGCTTGGCTTGCTCCCTCTCCTCATTCTTCAAAGGACATGTCCATGACAGGTGGCAGAAAAGGACAGTGAAAGTGAGCGTAGCAGAGAAAAGATCACCAGGAAGTTGTCAGTTTGGCAGTAAATGTACAGTGTACGTCCAAGTGTGTCTGTTAATAAAAGTCTGTCTGTTGTTTCCTCGACTCTGGAAAATGGAGGCAGTTAGTGCTAGCTTACATCTCCGCTCGGCTTCAGACTCCAGCCTGGAAGATGGACAGGAAAGCTCACAGAGTGTTTGGCTGAATTTATAGGAAGTAATGTTAATTAGCCGCATGTCATTACTTCCTACTTGGTTGGATCATTACAAATACTTTGCTTTAAAAGCACCTAGTAGTCACACAGTGACAAAAAAGAAATCCTGTTTAGAAAATAAAGATGCATCGATAATTGTTTCATAATCACATCATAGTAATCTCAATCGTAACCGAATAGAATCGTGAAGTGCCTAGAGGTTCCCACCGCCTAAAGAGGGTTCAAAATTTCTGTGTGGAGATTCATTTTTAAAAATACATCTATGGTTCTCTTCCACAGCATCTTCTATGGAGTCTGCTATGTTTCTATGGTAGCCCAGAACAGACACAAACACTGGTATCAGGGCCATTCGCGTTTTTTGCGGCAACCGTGAGGCATGCAATATTCAGTTGGTTGCAACCACCGTTAGATGCCACTAAATCCTACACATCGCTTCTTTAACAAAAACTACTCGTACCCAGTTTCATACGATCCATTACATTATTTCATCTAGTAATATGTAACATCCAGATAGATTTTGCACATCAGTTAGGCTGTATTTCAATAAAAGAACAATGCCATTTGAAAGAAAACAATTTCAACTGTATGTACATTTTAAAGCTACTAATGTTCATGTTTTTGTGTGTAACAATAGGTACTTACCTTCTCTCCTTCTGTAGGATTTTTGTCAGGATGATATTTCAGCGCTAGTTTGCGGTAGGCCCTTTTCAGTTCATCAGGAGTAGCATTAGGTTTTACCCCCAATGTGTCATAGAATCCTGTTTCCTTAACCATGTTTGTCTCTAATGGGCAACCTTGGAAAAGTAAAAGAAAGGCAAAACACAATCAGCGTTAAAAATTTTTAAGACCATGCCTGACAAAAAAAGTGCATTGAGGCCCCATCCACACTACCCCGTTTTAGTTTACAAACGGAGAATTAAAACGAATATGACCTCCACACCAGCGTCTCCGCTGTGTTTTGGAGTTGATCTCCGTCTACATTAAAACGACTGAAAACGCACAGCTAGGACCCGTTCAGGTGCACTGGGCATGCACGTGCACGTGCAGGTGCAAACGTAGCAAAAGGTGTCCGTTTTAATTCAAAAATGCAGTAGTGTGGATGGGGCCTGAGTTAAATGAACATCGCACTGTTCAGGGTTTACATTATGCCCCTATATACTGTTCACCTGGTATATGTGTATGGCAAATGCCCTATGTAGAAATGTACAATGACACCATGTTTTTGTATGTTTCAAGATTTTATAGTTTAGTCATGAGCATAAATGCAGCCAGATATTGGGCAGTAATGAGGGTCATGTGTTACGCGCACACATGTATGTCTAGATTTCCACCCTGTTGCCAATTTATAAGTACACCAATGGAGCCAGGACAGTCTTAGATTTTGGCATGGGAAAAAAAAATTGCATTAAAAACAAAACCTGACCTAAAAAAAATAAAACACGGCATTAAAACAAATCCAAGCTTTCAATAAAGAACGAATTTAACACACTTTTTAATATATTTTTTTGCATTCTGATCATTTAACGTTATGTGTGCATATCAGTTATTATACACTGATATTCAGTGACAGTGGTTTTCAGTTTCAATTCTCTGCCACCGTTTTGACGTGGAGGGGAGGAGGCAAGGAGAGTGTGACTGAGTACAACAGAGTACAGGATTATATTGAACATGGTTACTGATCAATTGTGTTAGTTAATCCTACCAATTATGCAGTTTTTTACGTTGGTGTCTCTGTCCATTTTGAAAATAAGCAATGTTAGTTATTTGTGATGCCGATTATTTCATGTGATAAGGATGATGGTTGTTTGTCATTAACTATTGTATTATCCGTTTTTTATTTGGGCCGTGAGCCTGACATGAAGTCTAACGATTTCACGGAAAACGGTGGGAAATAATAATGTACAAAATATATAATATCTCGGTAACGTAACGTTACTTTAACGCGTCATGTTTGTTACTTTTGTTAAATGTCCCCTAAATCTGGGGCTATCAACTACGAACTATATGACCACCACATGTGTATGGTTTTTGGTTGATGCGAGTAACGTTTACGTTATTAAACAATGTTACTACCCGTTAACGTTATCCTGTGAACGGTGAAAACATATCACGGTTTCATAATTATCAGGCCCAACGAAGCTAACTGTTACCTTATTAGCTAGCGTTCCTTAGCCGAACCAATGATAGCCTGGCTAATGCTAACACGCTAGCTAGGTTGTTAACGTAAAGCTAACGTTAAATAATAACATTTGACACTGGTATAAACAGACTATGTACATTTAAATCATTAACGTTATATCCAACCTTGTATGGAGACAATATGTTGAATGCTCACAAGTTCAGAGCACACCTCAGCTCACAGAGTCTCTTCCAGAATCTTCTAACCCGCCTCCACCACGGGCGAAATTCTGATCCAGTGACGTCAATGTCCCGCGACTAGACGAGTCACCAAAACAAGCGTGGGCTAGGCTGCAACCAGTTTTGCAGCTACACAATAGCTACATATAAGATGACAAAATGCCAATTTGCTGGCTTATCAGCGAAGAGGGCAATCATAAACCCATTCGACTGCCTCACCTACAGACAGTTGTCCTGGGTCGAGGTCCAGAAACGACCATTAAAGACAAAAAATGTTCTCGGCAGCAAGGTAACACAACGATACTTTTCTGTTTAATACAATGGCTGCGGCATACAAGAAAATGTCATGGAAGTGTATGTGTCTGTAAATCTTGTTAATCATGATTTATTGGTTTTCATAATTTCCACAAATCTAAAGATAAACAGTTTTACCATGTGCCTTTTAAATTTAATATTAGCCAATTAGCATACACTGATACCAATTATGTACCTTTTTCTGTGTTTTTTTCAAACATTACATTAGAACTAAATTAGACTTAATATCTTATCTGTCTGTAACCATTAGAATTTGAATTGGTCTAAATAACTGATACCCCATTGCAGTTTCTTTTATTATATATGTTTAAATAATGGATGGGCTATTCTTTTTTGTTTGTTTGTTTGTTTTATGTATGTCCATATATTTTTAATATATTTTATATTTAATTTTAAAACATCTTCCAAAATTATTAAAAACAAACTTTAATCTGTGCTAATGTCACCCCCTTTTCAACCAGTTGAACTGAAAGCAGAATGCAACAAAGGTTATGTCAAAGTTAAACAGGTAAGAAACATAAGTAACATTGATTTTATTAGAGTGAAACTCATAAGGCATTATGAAGAAATTGTTTTGCTGGATGTTAATAATAATCCAATTTCATATTGAATTTAAGAATTAATATTTTGATAAGTCTGCCTCCAGCAATGTTAACTACTACTGTTTATATACCACTCTGTGTTTCATCTCCCGTCTTTATTCCAAAGCTGGGCTTGAACCCCACTTCCATAGACTCTGTAGTTGTGGGTAAGGGCAGCGAGGTCAAAATGAAGCCCGGACAGCAGCTTTATATTGTCAATCAGCTCTACCCATACACTGTACAGTTCAAGGAGGACCACAGCGGAACTAAAAGACCGTCTAAAGAGGACAGAGAAAGCCACAGTGAGGCTCCAAGTATGAAAGCAGCAGAACAGGCGGAAAAGGTCTCGGTGTCAGTCAGTCATGGAGAAGCCACAAAACCTAGTGTAAGACAAGAATGAAAGTGAGAGTGCACATATTCAAAATGTTGTTTTAATGATGTCCACAAGTTGTTTTTATGATATTAAGAGTATGTTAGATTCTACAAAAAACCTATCTTAACTTTTTTGCAGGAAAGTTTTGGACATTGGAGCCAAGGTCTGAAGACCTCAATGCAAGACCCAAAGATGCAGGTAGCTGCTATTAAAAAAATAAAAAATAAAAAATAAAAAATAAAAAATAAAAAAGGGGGTGGGGGGGTGGGGGAGGGAACAGTTGGTATGATGCTTACTGATCTCTACGGATTTGTGATGCCGTGGCTTTATTGTTAAATCCGACTGAGGATGTTAAAAGTCACCGTCTCCTTTTGTCTAGGTTTTCAAGGACGATAAAGTAGTAGTTATCAAAGATAAATACCCTAAAGCTCGCTACCACTGGCTGGTCCTCCCGTGGCAGCCCATTTCCAGTCTGAAGGCCTTACGTGAAGAGCACTGTGACCTGCTGAAACACATGCAGCAAGTTGCTGACCAGATGGTTAAGCAGTGCCCAGATGTTGACTCGCTACGCTTCCGCACAGGGTACCATGCCATCCCCAGTATGAGGTAAGAAACCCCTGTTTAAGATAAGAAACGATGTTACTTTATTGATCGCCCGTGGGGGAAATTCAAATTGGCACAGCAGCACAGGGGAATGTAGTGCAAAGAAAACAAGAATACAATAAATTAGAATCAGTAATCAACAAAATAATCATACAAAATATGAATCAGTGATCACCAGGATCAAATATATAAATATATACACATTCTGTCCAATTAAAAAGAGTGTATTACCAAATATGGGAGATGTTGGGTGCTGTTGCGTTGTGGAGTCTGATGGCAGATGACACAAAAGAGCCTCCAAGGCACTTTGAGGCGTGGAGCTGGATGAGTCTGTGGCTGAAAGTGCTCCCGAGCTGCCTCAGCTCAGCATAGCAAGGATGAGAGGGATTGTCCATGATGGCGTTCAGCTTCCCTCTCATCCTCCTCTCAGTCACTGCCTCCACACTGTCAAGTTCCAACCCCACCACCGAGCTGGCCTTCTTCACCACCTTGCCCAGTTTGTTGGCGCCACAAGTCCCGATGCCACCTCCCCAGGACACCACAGCAAAGAAGATGACACTGGCCTGTTCTGGTAGAACATCCGTAGCACATTGAAGGAAATGAGCCTCCTCAGGAAGACCAGCCTGCTCTAGAGGGCCTCTGTGTTGGAGTCATCCGAGAACCTTTGGAGGTGGCTCGTTCCAGAGTTAAATGGTGCTATTACTGTGAAAGACCAAATTGGTGTTCCAGTATTTAAGGCATTTAATGCATAATGTTCACTGCTGCCTTTGATTGAACCCTAAATACTCATCATTTTCCCCCTTACACTTACATTTTTAATGGTCTAGTATTATGGTTTATGTCCTTTTAAGCTTTGTTTTGATGTTTTATTCTATATTTCCTGCTTGCTTCTAATTAAATAAAGCCCTTTGAATAGCTTTTGTGTATGAAATGTGCCATACAAATACACATTCCTTGCTCTGCCTTACACTGTACAGCTAAAGCAAGTCACATACTGTAGCTTCAGTCAAATTGAAAAACTGTTTCTACGACTTTCATTTATAAGCTTAATGAAAAAAGAGAGACGATGCAACGACTGGAAAACATTTTACGTATATACTTTTCTTCCTTGATTGTAAACATTTTTATTGCAGACTTAAATAATACCACAAAGTGTGCAAATTAGAAAGCCAGCTTTGGACATTCACAGAAATCAGAAGCCATTCATTGATGGTGTGCATATAAGTCAATAACCCCAGTACATTGGTATAAAAATGTTGACAAATGTTTGGCAGCAATGTAAAGTGTACACAGTTTGTAATAAAGTATTCAAAGCATTGGTCCGGATGCTAAAATTAGATAAAATAGAATAAAGCAAATTCGAGCGTGTAGTTCATGAGGAGGAGGATCAGCACATATGTGATGTCAACACAACAAATTCACATACTCTGGGTATATTCTCTTTAACAGTCACGTTCACCTCCATGTGATCAGCCAGGACTTTGATTCTCCTTGTTTAAAGCACAAAAAGCACTGGAACTCGTTCACAACTGACTATTTCATTGAGTCTCATGGTGAGAACAGTAAATTTTTTTTCACAGTTCCACAGTAGTACATTAAGTCCATTTCTGCAAATTTGTATTCACACGCGTACATGTTGTTCCCCCTTTGTTTAATCTGCAGATGTCATTCAGATGCTTGAAGCAAACGGAAGCGTCACCGTCAAAGAAGGAACCAGTGAGTTGTTGAAACTACCTCTCCGCTGTCACATGTGTCGCAAAGAGCTTCCCACTATACCAGCTCTGAAGGTGCACTTGAAGTCTCACTTTCCCACCTAAGAAAGTGACCTGAAAGAGGATACAATGCCTCAGATGTTTGTGGGTTCAACATAGGATTGTAGTGTGTTGGGCATTATTCGTACCTCTTAATTCAGATTTATGGTTCTATATAATGTTTATAAAACGGGTTTAAATAAGAAATTTAACTATGTGAGGGGAACACAATGTGCATCTATAGCTTTAGCTGCATCTTCAACTTGTCATTTGATAGTAGATTTAAGATGAGGGTCACTGTAAAGATGCATGTCACTTATGTTGGATTTCAACTGTTTGTTGTCAAATGTCAACACTGAGAAATTATAATATTGCATCTATTGTTCCCACATTTTCAAACTTGTTGTAATAAATGTTTTCTAAGATGTGAATACTGGATGTTTTCATTTAATATTATAGCATGTCTTCCCTGATAATGCCCATAGTAACACCTGTGTCAAATTAAGATAACACTAGTTTGATTCAGCTTTTAGCTTGAAGCTTTTAGAAAAGGCCTTCATCAAATATGCACCAGACAATGTCATTCTGGAAACACAAGTGTGATTACTGAGTGAGATGCTTTGGAGATTACCTTTTTGAAAGGAAAACAAACCTTTCCTATTGGAGCTTTATCTCACAGTTAATAATATTATTTTCAGAAAAAGTTTTTGTGTCAGAGAAAGGTTCCATGACATCTGATAATAGCTTGAATATTATAGGCCTAAGGACGAAAAAGAGCACCCCCTGTACACCCATAGTCCATTCAGAGAAGTAGTCTTGGGAGTGTGCGGGTGTTCCCTGACAGTGCTCGATTGACACCTCCCTCACTCCCTGGTTAGTTTTGTTATACAGATTTTGATGGGACTTTTTCCTTTTTCGATGTTATGACAGCATAATTCTGATTAATTTTAAATTAATCAAAGGTCTAAAAATGAAAGTGAAAGAGGATTTTCAAGGCCTTTCAGAGCTGTCAGTAAACAACGCAGCATTAAGTGTTGAGTTTGCCTCCATCTAGTGGAAGTCTTATAGAAGGCAAACAAACAAACCTCAGGAACTTAAACTTTGACATGCTGCGACTGTATAAAAAATTTGATGATACGTTTGCGAGCAATGTTGAACCGTTCCTTCCCAAGGAACACTCATCGATAGAGAAAAAGCTAGTTGGCCCGTACGGGGATCGAACCCGCGACCTTGGCGTTATTAGCACCACGCTCTAACCAACTGAGCTAACCGGCCGTGTCGATAGTCCCAAATCAATGCAATATAGCCATGACTATGGCTAGGTTTAAACGTGTTTCTGTAATTGTGGTATGGTAGCACCGTTACATAATTCAGCGTCGACTTACGACCAACCTTGCCTCAAACCTCTCAACATTTAAGCTTCAACAAAAGAGGCATATTCTAGCTAATGTAGCTAAATTAGCTAGCTAATAGCAGCACAAGAAGTTTTCAGATCCTAACGTTACACTCAGTTTTTATCAAAGTACGGAAGTATTTTTAAGCAAACATGTACTGTAAGTATTAAAAGCAAAATATAGTGTATAGTCTGGCCACAACAGATCACATGCCTGTCTCTATGACATTAAATGTTGAAAGTGCACCTGAATTGACCACCAGTTATGAAAACCACGAGCAAAATAGGAAATTAGACTGGTCACAGAGAATGGTCAAGAGCCTACGGAATATGGACATACCAATTGGTGCTATTCTGTGTGACAATATTAACTGTAAGAACCAAAATCATAAGATGTGTATAATGTATGATAAAATTGTGAATTGTTTAAATGAGGGCAGTAAATTATCCTGTAAAAAAAAGTTCTAAACATAATCTCAGACCAGGCTGGAATTAATATTTATCTGAACTCCATAAAGAGGCCTGAAAAGCTTTTAAAAACTGGATCTTATCAGGAAAGGCTATGGCCTGGAGTGTGAACATAAAAAATATGCTAATGCCAGATTTAAATATGCTGTACGTTTTATTAAAAGAAATGAGCAGGCCATGAGGGCAAACTCAATGGCCAAAAAGCTTCAGCAAAATAATATTGATCAATTATGGAAAGAAGTTAAGGTTATTATTAACAGTAAGGTTGCCTTTCCCATTCTTGTATTGATGGGGTAACTGGGTCTAAAGATATTGGCAAAAATTAATCATGGTATATTGTTTGGAAAACTACAAGAGCGAAGGGTCCATCCATTCTTGATAAGGATTTTGCTTTTTTGGTATATGCATAAACTATGCAAGTTAAATGGGGAAATCACATTTCTGTACCCTTTCTAGTGATAATGGGATCAGACAAGGTGGAATATTGTTACTTGTTCTATTTAATTTGTATATGGATGACCTTTCTAACAAGTTAAAAGAATGTAAGACGGGTTGTATCGTGGGGGAATAGTCTTATTAACCATCTGATGTACGGTGATGATCTGGTTGTCCTGTCTCCTTATAGTGCTGGCCTGAAGCAACTGCTCAGAGTATGCTCAATGTATGGTGTGCAGCATGACAATAAAATTTAACCCTGGAAAAAGTGTTATTATGATTGCCAAAACCAAGGAGGATCAGAAACAAACCTTTCCTACTTTTTATTTGGCAAACCAAGTTTTAAATGTGGTGAATAAAGTAAGATATTTGGGTCATATAATCAGGGATGATTTATGTAATGATGATGATATGCAGCAGCAGTGTTGCAAATTGTATGCACTAGCAAATATGCTGGCACGGAAATTTCATATGTGTGCTGATGATGTTAAAATAGCTCTTTTTAAAGCTTACTGTACTCTACTCTATACAGCCCACCTGTGGTGCAGTTATACTAAAGGGAAAATGAAAAAGCTGCCAGTGGCTTTTAATTATGCATTTAGAATCCTGCTGAAGTTCCCAAGATGGACGAGTGCAGATCATATGTTTGTGACAACTAATTTTCCCGGTCTTCATTCTGTATTGTGGAGTCTTATGCATAAATTTATGTGTCGGCTGATTAATTAAAAATAAATTGGTAATTTTAGCTTTAACTGAACCTACAAAAAGTGATACAAGGTATACCTCATTGGAACAAATGTCTTTATGTGTTTTAATTATGGTGGAATGTGTTATGATATGAGCTTGTACATATTTTATACTAGGTGTCTTGTATTGCGTCTTTATATTTATTTTAGTTTATTTTACTGATATAGACCTATGTGTCTGAAATAAAGTTGATTGATTGATTGATTGACAATTGGATGCAGATGCAGACAGAGCTAATGAACTACGTTATAACGCTACTATTCGGCACTGTTTGCCTATGGCAAATCATTCTGTGAGTTATACAGTTGTAACATGCTAAGTCACTAACTATTGTAAAACTTAAATGTATAGCCTGGGATTTTATTTGCCAACTCATCTTAGACTGGAGTGTATGAGACAGGCTTTTAATTCCTTTACAATGCTGGACACAATATGAATGAAAATACTTCATTGCTCACTGTTTCTGTAAAATGAACTAAACAATTCAATTGTGGAGTTTTTAATCCATCTAACAATCTAAGCAGCAAAGCACAAGCACGTGAACCGGTGGGCTTTCAGAGGTTTAAATACATCCAAAGAACTTTTGTAAAAATCAGACCAGAAGTCAAGTTGTCAGAAGTGTAGCCACACCTGGCCAGTAGAAGGGACAGGCGTCTAATTGGGACTAGGCTTTCAATTGTTTAGTTTTATGGTAGTTACAAAATAAAGGCAGTGGAGTCAAAAGTAGGCTACAACTGTTCCTTCTAAAATATAGGCTAGTGGAGTAGTTAGTACAAAGCTGCATACATTTAGGTAAAGTTCAAGCACTTCAAAGCTGTACAAGAAAATGTACTTATATTTACATTCCACTATTGCTCAAGTCTGATTATATAAAAACATGCAAGCACCTAATACCATGGTTATATTATTTGTTTATTATCATTAAAACAACTACATGCTTAGGATACATCTTCATCACAATATCATACACACAAAGCTCACTCAGCTGCAGGTAACATTATAATGCCAAAATGAACATTCAGAAGCGATGGGCAAGAGCAAATTTGTTATCCTGAAGTCTTCAATACAGGATATGTAATGGTATTGTAGTTCATAGTGGGGAACATATAGCTTAACAAGTGCATGCCATCATCTCCGTAGACTTAACTCCCTTTCAGCCTCATCTGGCATCATAAGATTGTCCACTGAGTAATGAGCATCGTCGCCTATATCCTGGAAGAAGTGCTCCTCACTTTCACAGCTCTGCGTTCCATTCACACAGTCCTGGGTTTTGATTTGTTGAAGCTCGGAGCTGTCAGTGGCATTACTCTCCTCTGAGCTCTTGCTGGCGTCGCTGCTGTCACTGTCCTCACTGGTCTCATTGCTTTCACTGCTGGTGCTCTCACTGCTGGAAGTGGTGACAGCTGTTATACTAGTAACGTCACTGCTGTCTGCGCTGTCACTGGTGGTGTCACTGCTGTCGCTGGGATTCTCCACCAGTGGTAGGTTTGTGTGACCCTTAGCGGTGTTGGTCCTCTGTCTGAAAGTGGCGCTGGTGGAGGTACGATTGGCCTGTTTCTCAGTCAAGTGGTCCGACTGACCCTCAACCTCTGTGCTGCTGTTGTCCTCTGCGCTCAGGACTTTGATGACACTTGAAAACACTCGAACCCAACTCTGATGAAGAGAATAAGCAGAGCATAGTGTCAATCCACTTTCATTTCACCTAAAGCAGGACATAGTTTAAGTGTGCAAAATGTTTATCCCACCTTTCGAACATTCTCCTCACTGCCCATGCTATTATCTCTGGTTTCAGCCATAGAGTCTGTCTGCGGAGATACAGTGAATAATATGATAATATGAGATCAGAAGAAAGGAATACATTAACAGTTGGCAAACATACAAGGTTTGACAAAATACATGATTTAATTGGTCTTACCCCGTCATCCTCATCTGATTGACTGTTACCCTCCTCTGAAGTCTGTTTGTGAAAAAGAAACATACCGTTTTAGAAAATAAGGCAACATTTTATTTCTTCAACAGTCGAGTGCAGCAAGAAAGTTGTAAGCATACAGTGTAAGTACACATACAGTATTGTATGTGTTTTTTATGTAAATGCTTACTTACTTATCTGCACCAAGGACACATATTTTTCTTTCTTTCCTTTATTTTTTCTTTCACTTCGAGTAATTCTTTTCATCATGTTTATTATTAGTTTGCACTATTATAGCGCCATCATAAAATATGATGAATTTAAGTTTTATGAAGCCAGCAATAACATGCTTCATGTAGTTTACTGATGAAAACAAAGTAAAAAAATAGAGCAATGATAAAACCCACCTTGTCCTCTGATGTGGATTCTAACGACTCTGATTCTGACTCTGAACTCTGACTCTGAAAAGATATACACTTTACGAGGTGAATTCAAACACGTTTACAGAACACCGTCAAAATCAGCAGATTTTTTCCTTTTGAGTCATGCAGAAGATTGATGAATCAAAATAACTCACTTGACTTGATGTATTTTCTTCAGAGCTCTGCAACAGAAATAAGACCAATTTAGGTCAAACTTAGCAATCAGAAGTGATGCAAAAAGTCATCTGCATCTGAAAATAATCATTACCTGAAGCTCTGAAGTGTCATTTTCAGATGATTGTGAGACAGACACACTTTCAGTCTGGGAAAGAAAAACAAAGTAAGCGAAAACCACCATAGGTTTAATTATATCTTAAAACTGCAACACAAACAATCATCACATTAATTAAAGACCCGTTCTTGTCAACCATCGCCCGGGTAATCTGTTGTTGCATAAATGGGTCCAGACATACACTATCGTAAACAAAAGTCTCTGAAATGGTCTTGAGGTCTGGAGAATATTCGAGTAACCACACCTATTGTTAGGCTTACTGCTGACTGTGTCAGAGGAATAAATCTGAGTGTTGAGTTCCTGCGCTTTAACACCAAGAGTCAAATGTGATATAGTGTGAAGGTAGGACTAATTTCAAGAAGCACTCACCGAGTTTGGGTCAAGCTCACTTGATTCCAAAACTGCATTGAATGAAATCTTTCGGAAAGAAATCACAGGTCATGATTATAACAAGGAATATACTTTACATGAAGGTTTCTTGATGTGCACAAGATCCATATTAAGTGATCCGGACCCTCTAGCATGCTAGGTAACTACACTGAGCCTTCCTGCTTTGCTGACATATAGTATAGTAGTAATTAAATCACATTGCAAAAAAAATAAATAAATAAATAAAAGAAACTGCAGTACAAAAATGATTGTTTACACTTATGCTATTATGGTTGCATCCGGAAGAGTCAATGACAATATTAATTAAATGTAAGTAAATGCACAGCATGTCATCACAGAACCTGAAGCCATTTAGCTTGCATCCTCTGCTTTATAGTTTCTTTGACATTATATTTAGCATATTGTGTAAATTTCCTGGTTTGCATACTTACTGGGTTGGCAAAAACTGCTCCAATCAGGCAAAATGTGATTATGGTAAACTTCATTCTGTAACAGACATACAGTATGTGGTTGATATCATTACTAATGTGATTCTATTCAGTATTAAATACTGCATTCCTCAAGGACAATTTGAGGTAAACTTAAAACCACAAAATCTCAACTTAATAAATCATCTGAAAAATACAAAACATGTTACTATCAAAGATTGCTCTTACACTTAAACTGCTAAACGCATAAAGAAAAAGTGAACAGAAACTTAAAAACTTGTTTAACTAATAGCGCAACAGCAATGAAAGTTTTGAATAATGTTAACCAAGAATAACAATCAGGTTATCACCATTACATGTAGTAAGATTGCATGCTAGAAAAACATGAGTTACCAAAGCCTGGAGTAAAAAAAACAGACAAACATTATATACAATCAGTCAATATATGATCAATTACCTTTTTATCCGTTAGATTCAGAGCTAGTGTGAGAATTTTCTCAGTGGTCCTTATTCAGTGTGTGTAGCAGCAAACCGGAGAGCCCAGTGTGTATTCTGATCCGCGTGTGGAAGCTGCCGGTTGAGGCGGTGAAAGCAGGATGTGTGGATATTCTGTAGGAAACTCAACTGTATATAAGTAAGCTTAATTGAATTGATTGCATCACTTCCTTCCGGATGTCCCTTTACTGTGTCGACACGCCAAGGTGTATTTGTTCGGGAAAGCGAGCTCAAAACAAACACACATTGGCACGATAATGATGTGTGCACTCACTCTCTCACACACGCACACACACACACACACACACACACACACACACACACACACACACACAGTTGTTTCACTCAGCCACTAAATTTCCCCCACCCCCTCTCAAGTCTTCAGTGAAATATAGTTTAGCTAAACCATAGGGTTTGTGGCCTGTTGAAAAAACAAACTCTCCCACTCAGCGAGGAAAGGAGGGCCAGACAGGGTCATGCTTGTTTCCGGGGGAAATGGATGTTTTTTTTCTACTTCTCTTTACTATCTAGTCTACCAAAACCTTGAGATTAATAGTTTTCTAATAATAAATTACAAGAAGCAAGTGAGAGGTACTACCTTGCAAAGAAAAAATTATAAATTGAACTCATCTATCCAATAAGGAGGCTTAAACATGTAACCACTGGAGCATAACTGGAGTCATGCCCATTAAGGCTTAATACATGAATGATGCTCTTTACTAAAAAAAACAACACCATGTTTTCTAACCGATTGTCCTCAGTATTTCATGATGTTATTGGAAATAGGACGTGTACAGTAGAAAGCCTAAATAAAGACTTCTGTATTTCCTCCCGCAGGCTCATAATTGTTTCCTGGATATCCATGTATGGTCAGGCCTAAAATAAGATGACAGATGATGATCCTTGTTAACCTCTCTCTGGATTTCAACCATACAAATGAAACATGTAATTAGACTGGATGTTCAACCGGTCTGGAGCTGTTCGCCAAAACCACAGCTACCAGTTGTTGTAAGGTCCTGCTTTAGAACAGGGGAGGAGTGAGGAGAAGACGATTGCTCGTTGGCAGTCAGTAATGTCTGCACAAAAGTTACATATGATCTTACGAAGCATTGACCCTTTCAGATGCATCTAGTTTACTGATTTTCTTAATGCGACTGGACATTTAGAGCAGAACTGACTAGTAATTGGATCCTCAAGAGCCAGTGTGATGCAGGTTTTTGTTGCTCCCTGGTGTTTAATGAGCTAATCAGGGAGGAACAGAAACCTGCAGTACAGAGGTACTTGGAGCACAGAAAGTAGTGTCTCGCCAAGTACAAGTTTTAATGCAGGGCTTTTCCTTGTACAGAGTATTTCACTGATGTATTGGTACTTCTACTTGAGCAAAATGTCTGAGTACTTATTCCACCACAGGCTGTAGGGAATCTTTGCTTGAATAATACAAAGTGCTAATGATCTCAGACATCGTACTGCAATTGTTGTAATATGAGGGATTTATTGTGACATCAATATCATGACTTGATACATGAGTATTAGTTAAGCTTCAAAGTTCCCATTAGTCCACAAACAATATCACCCCAAGGTCCATTTACTGCTCTGCAGCTTTTGGTTGTATCAGATCATCTTTGTCAATAAATAGAGATTGCCCAATTGTCACAGAATAACATGTCAATTTGAACATCCATTACAACTGGGAAAACTCCATCTGCTGCTGCATGATTTTGATCATGTAATATGATCAAAAGCTCCAGAGCAGCTACTGAATGGCCCTTGGGGTGAAATTGCTTTGTCAAATGAGTAGAAGTTACAAGAAAGATTTGCAAAAAAGTGTCCAAAGGCAGGTGCTGACAAAAAATGTCCTGTTATTAATCATCATGTCTTTGATCAGATCAAAAATCAACTCTTTTTTAGTGGCCTTAGGAACACAGGCTTGTGACGGAGTGACATCTAGTGGCCAAAATGATGCATTATTCCAGTCTAGCCTGAAACAAAGATTCGTGTCATGTTTCACATATTGGCTAGGTTTTACTCTGTAAAAAACGACCTACACACAAACACATTTAATACTACTAGAGCTACTAGAGTTGGTACACAACAACTATCTTTCTCTTGGTGCATAAACTATGTCAGGAAATAAAATAATAAAATAAGTGTAAATAAGAGGTTACACATGGGTTGGTTTATAACCTCTGGTGTGTCACCTTATTTTCTAACTGTGTTTTTTTGGAAAACATTAACATTGCAGATTTTTTGAGGCAGAGCACCCAACTTCTGCCAACAAGTTCAATGCAGGGTCTCGTCCTCTCCCTCTCTCTGTACGTCTGAATCCCAAAGACCCTCCCAGAGTTAGCAAAAGTGTTAGCACTATGGACCCAGAAAAAACTGTATGTGTGTGTGCAGCATGCCAGTTTGTGTGGACAATGTGAGCGGTGTCTCGAATACAAAAGGACATCCTCACAGGTTCAACACAGGCACGTACTGGTGTTTGTTCGGGATTCTCATTTCTCTTCCAACTACCAGCCTCAGGTAAAATTTATATTGCTGAGATGTTTCCATTATTTTGAAGGGTAATTTGTTAATGATCAAATATCATATCTGTGTGATATCTTGTTGACTAACTAATTTGCAATTGAACTTGTTGTATGGTGTAAGCAGCGACTACTGGTTTGGATATAGTTACTGTAGTTTCTTTTGTGATAGCCAGAACTTTACTTGGGTGTTCTACTTTTGTTTTACTTATGTTGACATTGATTCCTAAGTTATCAGGCATATCAAGAGATAGTGATTGTCAGTACTAATGTCTATACTAATACATTGAACATAATAGATACATTTAAATGTTGCTTATTTTATAGATGTGAAATATCCTCAAAGAGATCAAATAACCTTATTAAATAGTGTGAAAGATCCATTTACTACTATCATGTAATATGGGTATAATTTTAAAGATGAAAAGTCAATACGTATCCTTTGTAACATTGCCTCGTAATTGTAAAGATCAAATAAATCTGTTTGATTAATCGCTTCTGGATTTGGATCTGAATTTTGACACACACACACACACACACACACACACACACACACACACACACATGCATGCACACTGTCTACAACTATATGGGGTTTACTGGGCCATACCAGAGCGCCATTGTTCCACTGCACAGGGCCGCAGAGTCTGTTTTGTTTCCGTCCAGAGAAACAAAAAGTTTGTGGACTTAGTCAACTTTTTCCAGTCTGGTAGCTTCTGATGTTTACTTTAGCTCTGAATGTGACTTTTGAGAGAGAGGCACATCTCAGAGGCCTGCAACCTTGACAACAGTGGAGGCCGGTCCTGCAGCTCTGCTGGTCATGGCAGCATACAGATGCACTCACTTGTTTTAACTTTGAAACACTATCTAAGTTCATGTCTTTGTTATGACCATTTAGGTGTCAGATTTTAATGCATTGGTTGCCTTTTAATTTGTATTTTGTCTTTCTTTAATTAGCACATGTAATAAAATCTTATGTAGATTTTTGTCCATTGTTTAAACTGTTCATTTCCATGTTTCAGGTATGAGGGCCTGCTTAGCATTCCTTTGCTTACTGGCAGCTACATTTGCTCTGTCTGTGAGTAGTTATTAGTATTTTTCTGCCAAAACAAAACATGTGATGTATTATGTGTTTATTGCATCTTTGGAATTAGCTGAATGGATGTTCATTATTAATTATCCCCATTGTATCCAGGTAAACAGTAAACCTCATGGAAAACATCGTGGATTGCGTAAGATTCCACATACAGCCAAAGAAAAGGTACAGCAGGACTCTAAATTGATTCTAAAACAGGTGTTTGAAATGTAAGACGAGTTCATGTTGTAAAATGAAGATTTTTCTTTTCTCCCAAATAAGGACATTATCGCAGAGGAGGCCAACAAACCACAGGTTTTACCTACTTTAGTCACGTTTGCGGCCAGCAGCCAGGAGCAGGAAGATGAGGAGTTGAGCTCTGAAGACAATGCTAACGCCAACAAGGGCGAGGGAGAGTTTCAGGTGACTGAAATGAGTGACAAAAGCACTGCAATCCTGTTGAGTGAGGAGGAATTGGTAGACCTCTTAAAGAAAGAAGCAGAAGAAGAGCAGGAAACAGAAGAAAGAGTGCTGGAGGAAGAAGCAGAAGCAGTGGAGATGGACAAAGGCAAGGGGGAGTCTGTGGAGGTCAGTGAGGATGAGGTAGCCGAAGTGGAGGAGAAGAAGCTGGGGGACAAACTAGAAGTGGAGGAAGATGCCAAAGAGGTGGCAGATGAGGAAGAAGACATCAAGGAAGAGAGTGTGGAAGATGCTGAAATGCTGGAGAAGGAAGAGGTGGTGGTGGGACAGATGTCACATGAGGAAAAGGAGTCTGTTGAAATAATAGCTGACAGAGGGGAGCGAGAGGCATTGCTGGAGGAAACAGATGGTAGCACAGAGTCAGAGATCCCAGTTGATCTTGACTACGCTGCTGACAGTGGCATCTTACAACCTCTACAGATTGTATCTGCTAACATAAAACCCCACACTGATGCCGACCAGCCTCTGTCGAAAACAGATGTTAAAGACAAGGAAACCAGCAAGAAAGCACTGCCCACCATTGCTGATGACTACAAACAAGACATGCAAAACACTGAAGCAGCGGACAGCGAAGAAGCGTCTGATCAGGACATGGACAAAGATTCACAGGCCAAATCTACAGAAATCAGTGTTGACGAAAAAGAACCTGAAGCAAATGTTGAACCCCAAGAACCGAAGAGCAGTGGAGAGTTTGAATTGGGGTCCCGACTGGCTGGAAAGGAGGAAGAGAAAAGTAAGAATGACAGTGGAATTCACACCAAGGGAAAGGCAAGGAAGCAAAAGAAGAACCAGAGGGCAAGGAAGCACTCTCCACAGAGTGAAGAGACACCATCTAGACAGGAACAGAGCCAACAGGATCCTTCGGAGTCTGAGGGCAGCAGCACTGACAATACAGTCCACAAGGCAAAGAGAAGAAGGGCCGGAAAATGGGTAGGTCAATGCATACATAATCTCTAAATTTACTTTCTTTAAAGGGGCTATAATCAGTATTTTTAAATTAACAATTGATCACATGACTACTTGCATTTCAAAGGAGTTGGTCAAAGTGAAAAACCGACAGAGAATTGCCTCTCTGCTCTGCAGTTTCCCTCACCTCTACAGAGAGTTTTAGAGTCTTTCAGCTCATATTTTTGATTTTCTACGGCCCACAACTTTACTGTTTTGGTTAACTCTCACCGCTTTCACAAAGTGAGTACAGAGTGTTGTGTTTACAGTGTGTTCCTTTGCCCCCAAGTGGCCAAAACATTGATTATTGTAGGTTTTCATAAAGATAATTTGATTTGCTTTTGTTGCAGTGCTGCAATGTGATGTGGTCAATAAGGTGGAGCTCAGACTGCAGACCAAAGTGACCCAAAGATGATTTGCTTTGCTCATATGGGACTGAGATCTGATTATTTTTATAACAGTATGAACAAATCCAAGTCACATGGAATCTGATCTTTTCCTGTTTGGACCTGGGCCACTTTCATATTTGGTCCAAATCAGATACAGGTCGGATTTTTTGACAGTGTGCTGTGTGTGACGTCATATTGTTATTTTATGCATGCAGGTCACTTTCAGGCTGTGGCCTGTTCACAATGAGTCTGATATGGGTCACATTTAAAAAAATAATGTGTAATTAAAAAAAAAATCAGGGAATTAAGCATGAAGGCCTGCGGTGTGAATGTAGCTAAAGTAATTGAAACAATTTTTCCAAATTCTCAAGAAATTGCATTTCCATGTTTCCATTTTTCATGTACTTTTCCAGGGTCCTTTAGTAGGAATGAATCCAGTGCAGATAAGAGCCACGGTGGATCTCTACCCCAGTTCCAGGTCCTCTCTCAGTGGAGGCGTACACCACCCCGAAGCCCCTGCTGGTTGGTTACCATACTGACATATGCACTATCCCAACAGACTCACATGGGGAATCTGCTGACTGGATAATTTTGCTAAAATGTCCGCATGAATAGCGTCACTCTGCTTCACAGTCACTACCAAAACACACCTCTGCGGGCTTAAGGAGTGAATAATAGAGATCAAGCTGAATGTAATCCCTGTACAAACTAAAATGGTAGAGGAATGTAGGGTATGGTGTGTAGTGGTTATAGCTCATTGGTCATCACACTATAAAATAAAACCAAACCCGAACAGATACCGCTGGTTTTAAGTAAAGTATATTAAAATTCATTGCATTGATTGTCTTTTCATTTAGATCCATGTGACAAATTTCCCTGCAAACGTGGAAAGACGTGTAAACTTGATGTGGACAAGAAACCAGGCTGTGTGTGTCAAGAGCCGTCAGAATGTCCTCCCAGCGTGAATGAGTTTGATCACGTAAGTATGGATGGTCTGCTGAAAGCTAAACTGGGATGGTTTTACAACAGCTGCTGTATTGCATTTGACTGTTGCATTTTTGGTTGTTGTTCAATTTTTGTAGGTTTGTGGAACAGACAACAAAACATATGATACGTCATGTGAACTCTTTGCTACTAAATGCAACCTGGAGGGCACTAAGAGAGGGCACAGACTTCATCTGGACTATACAGGGCCATGCAAATGTGAGAGATAACCACTCTACAAAGTTTATGGTTTAAACAACATTTTTGTTCTTGTATGGTGAATGAAACATTTCTCTCTCTCTCTTGGTTTCTCTCTCAGTCATAGCTCCATGTTTGGACACTGAGCTGATCCAGTTCCCTCTACGAATGAGGGATTGGCTGAAAAATGTGCTGCTGCAGCTGTATGACCATGACTCCGTTTCTCCTGGCTTCCTCACTCCTAAACAGCGTTTTAGAGTAAGTTATTTGTATCCAATCAAACAGCCAACGAGTGAGTCAAAAAGTCACATGGCATTTTTGGTAAAAGGAGCAATTATATGAATGGTTTGTTGTTAAAAGTCTGTGTCTTAGGTAATCAAAGTCAATCAAACTGGTCACGTATTCTGTAGGTGAAGAAAATCTTTGAGAGCGAGAGGCGTCTTCATGCTGGTGATCACTCTGTTGAGCTGCTCGCACAGGACTTTGAGAAGAACTACAACATGTACATCTACCCAGTGCACTGGCAGTTTGCTCAACTGGACCAACACCCCTCTGACAGGTAGAATTCATTCCTCTGTGTACAATTTTCCTCAACCTCTAGAATTCTCTTTAAAAATTTTCATAGAGGGCTCTAGTATGGGGTTGTCACTGATAGCTAACATTTTTAATAAGGTGTTCTTTTATTTATTTAATTACCATTTTCAGATTGAAGAGCAACACAACACCCATTCTTATTATTTTTTTTTGCATGTTAGCTGAATCAGTAGTTTTATTTTTTACTATTTTATATATTACAAACCTACATAAGCAGATAATGATGGACTTTTTGTGGTCATTAGTGATGATAACAGATAACAATGAGAGGACACCAACTTGTTTATATTACTTCTAAGAATTGTATATACAAAAACATCGATGAACAATTAAATATGATCCTAACCTGTATACAAAAAGTGAATTTACATGCTGTTTTTCTGAAGCTATGATCTTGAATGATCATGTTGGTGGTAGACGACAGGATTGGCTTATATCAAATATTTAACAGAACACCAGACAGTACTTTCAAGGCATATCATAAGACTCATTGAGTGCAATTCTAATGCAACAATACTTTAGTGTATATGACTTAGATGCTCACAATGATCAAAATGTGATGTTCATCTGTCCTATGCAGATTCTTGTCCCACTCGGAGCTAGCCCCACTTCGAGTCCCTCTGGTGCCGATGGAGCACTGCACCTCCCGCTTCTTCCAAGAGTGTGACGCTGACAAGGATAAGCAGGTGTCCTTTAAAGAATGGACTTCCTGTTTTGGTATCAAGAATGGTAAGAGCAAAAGCATGCTATGGCATAACTACCCGAAGGACATTATCAATGTTGAGAAAAACTTCTAAGCTTTGACTCTGTGACCATCCCCATGTGAATCACTTATGGTAAACAAGTTCAGCAAAATGGAGAACTTTCAAATCTGTGACGCTAGTTAGAGTGTATATACTATATAAGCAGTTATTTAGCTACTTAGGTGCACATTGTGTCATTATTTTAACCAAAAGAAATAATGCTCTCAATTTATCCATGATTTGTGTATATTTGTCTATAATTCTCATGCATTTCTATACCCTGGTAAAGCATGTGGCAAATACTGTTGCCATTTATTTTTTATCCTGTTAATGCCTACTGTCTGTTTTCTCCACAGAGGACATGGATGTCAACCTGTTATTCTGAGCAACATTTTGTTCCTTATCTCCTACACAAGCTCATTAAAGCTGCCCCAACAGTGTAGTTTGAGACAGAAGCCTCTGTGAACCTCTGTAATATGAAGGAACTCTGACACATGAAAGATGAAAGAAACTCCTCCTCCTGCTATAGAGGGCAAGTGTTGGTGGTCATTGCTGTTATTTTGTGTCACGCTAAGCTTGGACATTCTGATCTTTGTTCTTAGATATTAGAATATAAGAAAGAATTATTTTTAGCTGGTTTTATCCAGAAACTGTTTTCTAATGCATTCCAAAACTGGGGGAAAGTTTACATCGGCTCATTAGTAGAAAAGGTGTTGTATATAGTTCCAGCATTCAAAAGAACTGTGGTTTGTATGTTAGAGTGATTTAGTGTAGAATTACTCTCTAAATCAAGGTTAAGTTACAGTGGTGATGTAAAACCATAACTGTGTTTCTTGTCTTTGTACCAATTGCTGTAAATGTTTCTCTTTACATCCAATGTTTCATTGTAGCTCTCATTAAAGCTTTATTGACAGCAATGGACTTCACAATATCATGAGCAGAATATTTCACTGCACCCTGTTGTTTTTCTACAGCCCTGAAATAAAGTTATTGCATCATATTGGTGGATCCCAGTTGACCCCAAAAGGCCCTAGGAGACATCGGCGCATGCTCTAATATCATGTGTTATTTGTTGGTCAAGCTTCCTGATGCCACTGTGGCATGAAAATATGACCTCTGCAACTGTGCTTTTGAGAATGCAAGTGACTGATACCTGGTTTAGGTTTGCCACATAATCCTGAATAATGGCCCCACATAAGGTAACAAAGCATAAGGTAACAAAGCGAAAAATAGCCTGCATCATGGTCACGATGATTACAGTGACTTGTTGTTTTGAGATAAAGCACAAGACTCTGATTGGACCTCTGTTGATGATCACTGAATCTGACTCTCTCTTTATAAGCAAAGGAAGAAGGAGCTCTTCATCAGTCGACTGTGTTCTGTGAATGAGATAAAACATGTTCTGCATACTGTGGGTTATCTTTCAGACCTTGGCTGTTGTGGTGGAGGGTGGTGTGTCTTCAGGGAGTGCTGAGGCACTTGCTAATGGGGCAGTGAATAATAATGGAGCAGCAGCTGGCAACAATGCCAACCCTGGGGCTCAAAATGGGGTCCCACTAAACGGTGAACCTTTTGTGGCACGCTTAGTCCAACTTGGTGGCTCAATTTTTATCCAGCCAGTCGGGAACCAAGTAGGTCAGCAGCAGCTAATCCCCATTGGAGCTCTCCAGCAAGGTGGGGCATTTCTTGTGGGGCAGGCAGGCAGAACCAGTGTGAATCCACAAGGACAGGTGGCTCAGGCTGCCAGGAATGGACCGGTCACACTTTTTGCTGTACTGCCACAGGGAAATGCTGGAGGAGACCTACAGGGTGCCCTGCTGACTCCCAGCCAAGTGCAGCTGATCTCGTTGGCTGGACTAAACAACCAGCAACAGGCGGGCGCTGCTGGTGGACAAGCAGCTGGCAGAGTGAGGTTTCAGCGTTCAGTGGCAGCTCGGCTCAGGAGGACACAGTCTCCGGTGATGAAGGCGATGGCAACTGAAGAGGAGGAAGAATGCTCTGGGACGGAGACGGAGGAGAAGCAAGAAAAATGAGAGCACACAGCTTTCAGACTTCAAAGATATCTCATGATTAATTCCTACTTCCTGATCCAGTCTCACTACTAGCTGTTCATGCTCAGATGTTACCTTTAGACATGTTTTTAAATAAGTCATCATACTTAATGAATGAATGAATGAATAAATGATTGAAGTCAATTGTTGAATCTTTGTTGAGTCTTTATTCCAATATATCAGTGCAATAAAAGTTTGATGTCACATCATCTGGAGCCCAAAATAAGTGTACTTGAGTAAAACACTAAACAACATCGACCAAAGTCATGGGTGTGGCTCCTGTGAGTGCACTTATTTTTGTGTAAGAGTCTGGTACAAATATGCACACATTTCTATTTACAGTACACTGCCTGCAACTACATGCAACATGGTGATTTGGGACTCCTCCTACACACATTACACGCATCACGGCAGAATTCCTGGAGCAACAGGTTCTTGTTCATAAAGCCTGTCATAAAGTCAAAGTGTCTCTATCTATAAATTATGAACCAGACATATGAAAATGCGTATATTTACATAACTACATTAGGAAATACCATTGGTCACAGCATTAAACTGCAAACACGAAGACAAGGTTGCTTAATTTGAACTGCGTGACAGCGTGTAATTAGTATAGAGCTCCAGACCAGACTTCCACAGAACGTGTTTACCTGTGGGTTGCCCAGTCAGCAGCAGCAAAAAAAACGTCTTTCCCAGACAGCCTCAGTATGTGAGACCATACCCAGCCAACCACACTGGGAATGAAGGTAATGGCTCTAAACATCTTGAGAAAATGTGCTGATGAAACATGACAGACACATATCTGTTCCCCGCTATTAGTAACATCAGAGGTATTTACAAATTAATGAAGAGGTCTGACATTGCTGACATTTTGGGTCTGGTGTAAGTAAAAGAATATGCTTGAGACAAATACAGACTCATCACAAATAACAGTTAGGCCTCCAGACATGCCTGAGGCACATATTTTAACTTTGCAATATAATACAGCAGGAAAAGAAACATGAAATGTGCGCTTTAAAAATTGGAAATTGTTTTACTAAAGTCAAAGCCATCTTCTCGTGCCTGCCATGTAAATGTTTCGAATTTGAGCATACACACGTGTTTTCATGGTTCCTCCATTAAAGCACTTGATGATGATGTCATATGTTTGCCTCCTGAGGCCACAGCCCTCAACATTTAAATGGTTCATGCTGGTTTTTAATCAGTGGCTTCCAGAAGCCTCCACAAACCCTTCTTAGGACACTGAATCACTCTGTTATTGTTTGTGGTTTCTCAGCTGTATTGGGAACAATGTTAGATGGTTGAATCGGGTGTCTTTGAAAACAGGCAACTCACTGTGTCACAGTTCTTGAAATCTTGTACAGTAGAAAAGAAGATGTCATATCACGAGTTCCCATGACACACAGGTGACAGAAAATAGTTCATGAATAAGTCGGCGTTCTTCTCTCTAATTGGCCCATAATAATCTCTCGGACTGATAAAAGGTGCTCTACATTCAGGGAGCAACTAGAGTCCTCCTTGGCACATAACATTTGAAAGAAGAACCAAAAAATATACGGTATGTATTGTGCAATTGAGATTTTATAATAATGTGATCATAATTAATGTGCAATTCAGTTTAAAGATCCAGAGTCATATTCTAACAAATGTCATGCAAATATTAACAAAAGATGTTTAAATTTTATGAGTTAAATGTATCTATTCTGGGTTTTTTTTACAGGTTTTTGGCAGCAAAATGAAGCTTTTTTTCCTCGCAACATTTGTAGCAACAGTCTGCTATGTGAGTATCTATCTATCTATCTATCAATCTATCAATCTATCTATCTATCTATCTAGCATCCAAAGCAGTGCATGTAACGTCTGGTTTCTTTACTTTTTGCAGGTCAATGCAGGCAAGGTAAGAAATTTTCATACTAATAATTTATGCGCAATTAATCAACAATCCAAGTTATATTGTAGTCAATAAAACACACTTTTTCTCCTTTCACACAGAGACAAAGGCTGCTTGCAGCTTTGAATGGAGGAATGATACCAGGTGTGAACGGAGGAATGATACCAGGTGTGAACGGAGGAATGATGGGAGGTTTGAACGGAGGAATGATGGGAGGTATGAACGGAGGACTGGCAAATGGAGCAATCCCTGGAATGATGGCTGGAGGCCTGAACCCACCCATGGTTGCTGCCGGTGGGGCAGGTTTCTTTGGGCAGCCGCAGTTTGCTCAGGTCAGTCTGTCAGGGTGGAGTATTAGATTTTATTCAAACTTTTTAATGTCTCTTTGCTTTAATTGTAGATTATAGTCGTTAAGAATAAGATTAAAACTGGTTGTAACACCAATGCTGTAAACAAAAATAAAAGGTGGTATGTGCAAAATATTTAATCTGATCTTTCATATAAACTATTGTACAGTAACAATCACATTTGTACCCTCTCTCTCTCCCTACGAAAGTTTGTTCCTGGAGTTCCTGCTTTTGCCGTACCACCCCCTGTTCCAAATGTGTACACTGTCCCTGCAGTCAATGCGGTTAGTGTTGCACATACTGTCAAAAGTCTGACATAATTTTCTGTTGTTTCAGGGTTTGGAGTACCACACAAAAATAACATATTTCTCTCTTTCTTTTCCACTGGCAGCTTCCTTTCATGGGAGTCCCTCCAATGGCACAAATGAATCCTCCTCAGCAGCCACTGCCGGTAATTACTCACCTCTATAACTGATTTTCATTCCAAAACATGCTTTTATTACCAGTGAATGACCATTTGTTACCTCATCTTGCTGTCTTTGTTTAGGGGATCACAGGCGGCGGCATGCAACAGCAGCTTCCTGTTCAGCCTGATCCACTCAGAAGATTTAGGGTAGGAACCAAGTAAACTGTAAACTGTAACTTTCTGCATGTGAATACTGATGAAAGCTAATTTTTGTTCTTTGGCTCTCCAGCGTCAGATTATGAAACAGGAAAACGCCTTGAAGACCACTGTGGATACTCAGGTAACACAGTCTGATTTACAAGCAGAGAGGATTGCAAACATCATTAATACTGTCTGATATGTGTTTTCTCTCCATCTCACTGTGAATTGTCTTTGTGAAGGTCTCATTTGTTCACTCATGGTTCCCTTTTCATTTCCTTAGATTCCAGCTCCTGCTGAAACCACAACAACTCCCTGTGACAAAGAAGGTCATCATGAAGATGACCCTGTTAACAAAAGCGTTTAATCTAATATGCAAGATTTAAAGTAATAATAAAACTTGACTTACATGATTTTGTCTATCACCAGTGATCATCATCAGTTTTTCGTATTTTATTTTTAAACTTTAGAATGAATCTCAGAAGAAAACATCTGATGGATGTATTGAACATGTTGACTGTCCAATAAAAATAACTGATACTTTAAATTAAAGTTTGTTCATTTAAAACCTCTATTTTCTACACCATTCTATTGAATGAGACAGTTTTCATTATTGAACTGTAATCATTGCAGTTTATAGTAGAACTCTGCTGCCATCTAAAGGATAATGAGTATAAAAACCACACAACATAAAAACCACAATGTCTCATGAAGAACAGAAAAAGAGATGTTAGCTGGATAATTACACTGAAAAACCCAGTTGTGAGCAAGGCCCAAAGTAAGAAGAGCTTTTCTGGGTTTCACTCACTGCAGTGAGTTAATTCAGTAATCCTGTTTCTTGAGACATGGTGGGGACTTACAGTACATAGCTGATGCACATCTGAGCTGTACTGGTGCCACAAATGAAATCTGTCAGATATAGACCTTTTTTCATGTAAAAATCTATAACACTGTTATGACTTAGTGGGACACAAAGAGCCACAAATAATGTTATTAGTAACACCTGTGCTATTCCTGCTACAACAAGTCAAACATATCTGCTGTGAAAAAGGCCTATTGGTCACATTCTAGGTTTAAAGCAACATTATGTAAGATTTTTTTTGTGGGGGATTTGGCGCCCCTTCTGTAATTCACCGCTGTGGTAAATAAGGACAGCTTTACTACTACTACTACTACTACAGCTTTACATTACTTATTATCAAAAACTAGCAAGTCGACGACTTTGCTAACACAGCTAAACATCGCCATTGCTTGGTCACTCCTTTTTACTCTTCTTAGCTTCCTCCATCAATGTCCTCTTCGGTCTCTTTGCCACTGCCACAAGCTAATGTTATGTCCATAGACTCTGCTGAGCAACACCGGTGCCGCTCTCCACCAGCAGCAGCAAAAAGTTGCTTGAAACTTGGGTGGCAAGCTAGCCAACAAAGCTAGACACCAACCCATGCAAGAGCATGTACGTGCAATGATGAGTGAGGGCTCTAATGTTTAGTAAACACTAGGATACTGTTTACTATGTAGCACTGAGGTTTATCACAAACTTTAGAGCCCTTACTTATCATTGCTCCTTGTATGCTCAGGTTGGTTGGTCTGCATTGTCTACCCGTAGACTTATCTTTGGCACATTTTTATTTATGAGGCTATTCTTTCTCTACTTACATAGCTACATCCAAAACAAAGGCACGGGAAGATACTGTTTTCGTTGTTAGGACTTATTACTATTACCTGTCCCTCAAGGCTGGACTCAATTGGTAAAAGGGGCCTTTATTAAGTATGCGGCTCCCTTTGATTGGAATCAGCTGCATAATGTCCTGAATCTTCGGTTTCACTGGTTGCTTTTAAAGAACTTTTTAATGACTTATAGGCTGGCAATTCTGTCTGTAGATGGTAAGACTGATTACTCAGATGATCCTTCTTGTTGATTACTTGTAGTGAATATTTAAGAAATTTTGATATTTTATGACCTTGTGACTTACTATTTATTCCTATTGTAAATTGATATATGTTTAATGTCTATGTTATATGTATGTCTGCAACCTTGTTAATTGTGCTGCTGCAAATGCCTGAGTGTTCTATCTAGTAATATGCTAACATCAACTAAACATTTATAGCTACCAGCTAAACGTCTGATTTTGCTTGAGGCAACAACTCTGCTAACACAGCCAAATATCAAGCAAGCACAACAACACAAGACATAGTAAGCTTGCTAATAAATTATTACTTAGTCTAACAACAAGAAGGCCAGCTAGGCATCCGTCTTGCATCCTTTCAGCTCTTTTAGCTCACACCAGAGTAAAAGCCAGTCCGAAATATACTCTAGCTCGGTCACTCTCTCTTTTTCTTTTCCTCACTTCCTCTGACAACGACAACATCTTTCAAACAACTACATTCTATACTTTTTGCTTCTTCTTATAGCTTGCTTGCTGAATATTGTATTAGTGTGTGATGTGGTGCTGTAAATCATTACGTCGTTCTTGTGATAGATCTGCGGGCCTGGACTGGCAATGATAGAGACGCCATTCTCCCTGTTACAAGTCAGCGTACCATCAAAATTATTTTTGAAGCTTTGTTTTAAAGAGACAAATACTACATAATGTTGCTTTAAAAGCAAGGGCAAGAATGAGCTTAAGTTCAATTGCCATTTCAGCCTATTCAAGAAGTTAAAACACATAAAACCTAAAAACATTTGAGCTAATTCACAAGCTGTTCATCTTCTTCCAGACAGACTCACAAAAACACACAACTTTCCTTTTTTTATTTACTGTGTATCCTCAACATGAATCCCAACTCAGTCAGCTAATACCCATGATTTGCCAATTAGAATCCAACACCAGTCAGCGGATGATGAACAACTTCATCTGACAAATGTGTGATTATAACCTCCCAGCTCCTGTTTTCTTTTTTTTTTCATGACAGGCTAAAAATCCTGTCAGTCTTACAGTCTATCTGTAATTACACCCTGAAGTGCCACACATGGGCACATAAATCTTTCTTGGAACACTTAGCACATATAAGAAGTGATTATGTACTGTACACCAGTATGTACAAAAGTCCTTCAAACTGCAAGTCACCGAGTTCCGTCAGTCAATGAAAATCTGGTATGTAATCTATGCTAGAAGCGCATTCAATTTCAAATTCAGGTTCTTTAGAGACTTGTTAACAACTTGACGCAGACCATGTCATGGTGTTTAGAGACATGACTTACACCTAATAACATGCTTACTTGCCCTGTGTTGCAAGTGTCTGAGCCTGATGCCATGAGAAATGTCTGTCCCACTGACCACACATTGTCTGGATGGGTTGGCACGGGACTATAACAGCTCACATGGGTAGAACTTAAAAGGGATATGGACAGGGCGAGAAGGCATGCTCACAGAAAAGGAAAAGCAGAACCATAGAAACGGTAAGATGATTCTGTTACGCTCATTGTTTCATTTCTGGCATGGTAAAATGTATGGTAGGACTTTATGAAGTTTTTTATTTATTTTTTTAAACATGCCTACTGTTTTTGACTGTAGACATCATGAAGCTCCAGACTACCCTTCTGTTGATCTGTCTGTTCAGGACAAGCTTTGCTCTTCCAGTGAGTAAAATATATATCTTGCTAAAGTACATATTTTTCACATCTTCTAAAATGGCACGCAAGTCTTATTTTGTTTATTTTGCAGTTGCAGATTGGAATTCTTGCAAGCAACAGCAATGAGGTAAATATAGCTGTTAAAACTTTTATGTTTGTTGGTTGCAATGTCAAAATCTCTTAAGTCATTCAGGAGTAAAATTACCAAATTTAATACAACCGTTTTGTGTTCAGATCCTAAGATTGAATGGACTAACTCTCGCAACTCTTGGACAAGCACAGGTACTGGAAGTTTATGTGCATATCTTTGTCATTTTACAAAAGCATGTTTGTGTAAACTGAACTAATTCTCTTCTTATCTAGGGGTCTTCAATATTACCCCAGTATGTGCTGCAGCAGCAGCAGCCTGAGGTGCTGCTCACTCCACAGGTGGTGAACTTGAACCCACAATTGGCTGGTCCTTTCAGTCCCCAGGGACCACAGCTGTTTCTCCCCAACCAGGGCAACCAGCTTACCCCTATGCTCATCCCCAATGGCCAGCAAGAGCAGCTTGGGCCTCCACAGGACCCCAACGCTCCTAATGTCCCTCAGCAGGCCCAAAACCCTGTTCAGGTACAACAAAGCAGCATACAGTATGGTGTTGCTTAATTACTTTGTCGTATGGAGAAATAAACGGTTGTTTTAAATTTCCTTTAGATGTTTCCGCATTTCCAGTACCCGTCTTTTGGATTTCCTCAGTTTCCCAGACAGCAGGTATGAAGTAAAACATCATGACCTGTGTGCGAACCTCAATAACTTTATTTAGAAGCTCACTGCATATTGAAACTGACCCTATCATCCACAGGGCTTCCCTTACTATATGCCTCCTTACGGCTACCCCCAACAGAGGAACACAGTGGTGCTGCAGCCCAACAACGGTCAGCAAACCCTGGAGAGAACCACCCAGAGACCCCAGCTCCCTTTGCAGGTGAGACATGCAAGATGATATGAAGTTAAGACACGAAGCTCTTGATTTCTCTGTGGTCAATGATCAAAAACAAATGTAGCATGTTATTCTATTCTTATTCTTTAAAAAAAACAGTGGCTGAATGAAGATTTGCTTATAGAGATAAACAAGTGTTCAGTGGATATTAGTTACATATTTACTAAACAATGTAACAAAAGCAGCCACTTCCCTTTGCCACTTTGAAGTAAGGTTAAGAACTGATGCAGCAGATTATGATGACTAAAGACTCAACTTAATGATAATAACATAGCTGCAGATCTTGAGTCACATGCGGCGACTGTGATGCAATGTCAACTGTCTGCCATATTGACCACACACTGTCTTTCTGGATTAGCGCTGGACTGCTGAATTCATATCACCTCAGTCCCATTTCAGTGCTGAATAAGTGTTAAGCAACTATAAAATATCTGCACTACTACATGATACGTTTCAGTGATCAGCAGACTTTTATTTGTAAATTATTTGTTGTTATCTAATTTATTTCTAGTTAGTTTCATGCAGACAATACTTGTAGCAGAGATGTAGTAGGTGTGGTTTATTTGCATATGTGTGAATGCGTTTTGCTATTGTTTTAGATTGATTGTTTTGTTGTTGTTTATTCTGCTTATCTAATTTTGTCTGTTAACGTCGATGTTTTGTGTCTTAAGACTGCATCTGAAAGGGTTTATCCTTAAAATTTTAAATAAAACATGTAGGTAAATACTTAATAAATGTGCATATATTTAACACTAGGTATTTTTTGTAATCAGTTTTCCTGCATATCTTTCCCTTTTAGCAGGCTTCCCAGCCTAAGGTGCAAACAGAGAAAGTGAGTGCACTACATAACCTCTGAATTTTTTTTTATAATTCCAGCAATAAACCAAGGAAACCGACATATATGCACCAGTTAAGTCTAATTGCTGTGTTTTTGCAACTTTCTATCTATATCAGACATGGCCACTGGGGACACAGAAAGAGTCTACGACAATTCCTCCTGATCCTCGCGGTGACACATCTGGCCCAGGAATTGATGAGGTAGGATTTTATACAATGAGGCCTGACCTTTAAAGTTTTTATGCATTCATGTGTATGCACACATAAAAAACCGTGGTTTCTGTTATATGTCTTTTAATTGTGCAGGATTTGATTTTGAATATTTCAACAACTATTTTTCACGTTTCTCCAGGGTCAGTCCAACTTCCCTTTCCTGTTTGAGCCATAGATTTCACCAGGGAAATAACAACAAGGTCATGTGGCAAAAAACAAGATTCACTCATTCATACTGGACTGTACCATTCTTCCAAATGCAATTTATTTGTATTCAGTTATTTTTATGTTACACTGAAACTGTCTTGCTCATTTCAGGAATCTTGTCCCTGCTTTCACATTATGTCAAATAAAGAACTTTGCCAAAGTAATTGGTTTAAGATTTTTATTTTGGTACACAGAAAAGATGCCAACAGGAGTGGTTTCCCAGTATATACCACAGGAAAGAAAACCATAATCTTCTTTAAAGTTTGTTGATCCATCTTGTAGCTGTTGGGTGTCTTCCTGAGAAAAGTGTAAGATAAAATAGGGTTAGCAGCAGTCAGCAAACTGATGAAACAGGAAATCAAACTTAATCACTATCACCCTCACCCTTTATAATTGTCAGTATCTTCTTCTTGAAATTCTTACTCTCCAGCAATCCCACTGAGGTTCATCTAGAAATTAAGAAAGTTGTTCAAAGACAAGTCCAGTTTTGATTTACAGAAATATCAATAAATGTGATTAAAAAATTATATGTTTTGTTAATAGGCTGATTCCAAATACCGTGTATAATATCCCAGTTCAATGTAAAAGGAAATTGTAGGTGTATGACTGGCTCATTTACTGGTGTAGCTGCACATACCAATAAAAAGCCTTGGAAAAAGGCTACATCAGAGTGGGTATGGGATTTTGACAAATATTGTATAGAAAATGGATTCAGACATATGCATGGTGTCATGTGCTTACAGGTTGTCTCTACTTACAGGTTTCAAGAACCCATACTCAAAGGAGACTTTGTTCTTGGAAATGGAAAAAGAGAAATTAAGATTATTATTGAAGATATATCTAAAAAAACATATAATGTACAGTAAACACAGAAATCATTTTCATTCTGTAGTGCTCAAGGAGATTACCGGCTCTGTGGTGTTATAGATGAGCTTCACATATTGCTGAAATTGAGATGAACAGAAACAAAAATTACAATGCAGTCAATTAAAAATAAAATCAAAGATCAAACCAAGCAAAATTATCTGCAAACCATATAAATGAAGCCCAAACAAACCATTCAGAGTAGAAAATAAAGTTTAAAAAAATGTATGTATACCCAATTCTTCGGTGGGGCCGGGTTTCCTCCCTGAAAACCAATTAATGGTAAAAATTTAACTAGCTGAGTATCTGAGCTTTGACACAGTACTACAGAACTACATTTTTACCTTATTTTGTTGAGGTCCTCTTTTGTCCTCCTGCCCTCTTTCACCATGCTATGGATGGATTTTCAGTAATTAGTATTCAATGATAATGAAAATAAAGTCTCTTTTCTAATTCTTTCACAGATTCTTTAACAACTTTCTTCAGTCACCTACCATCGGCATCAGAAATATGTTCTCACCCTGCAAGATTTTCACACAAAGAGTCAGTGGAGTCATGTCGTAAGATAGTGTAATTTTTTTACAACAAGTGACTAGTTCATCAACAGAAGTTAAATCAAGCAACTAAATCATAGTTCACCTTCTTCAAGGTTACATCAGTGGTGTTCTAGGGATGAAAGACATGCGTTTAGTTGAAAACTAATACTCAGTAAACTGTATATTGCATATAACATACTTTTAAAAAAACTTATTTTACCTGGAATGTAACTTTGTCAACCTGAAAAAGACAAATAATAAACACAAGAAAATAAGTTATAAGTTCAAAGAGTTTTAACCAACTGTTCTGGTTAATTTTAAGTGTGTTAATTTCACATCACAGAGATGACAGTAGGCCTACCTTGAACACAGGGGAATACACCTAAAACAAGAAAGAAATAATTGTTTATCATATTTTATCATAATGCAGAACAATACCAGTTTAGCTGTTACCAGTTAGGGTGTTTAAGTAAGTAAAGTTATTAAAACACCTTTTGAAAGCTGACATCACATAGGCTAGTGCTTCACAATAAAAGTAAAACACACAATACAAATGTAAAATTTCAAATAAACAAAAATAAAGAGTTGGGTCCATTCCAAATGAGATGCCACCAAACAGAGCTTTTCTACCGTATTTAAAGGGGTCAGGAGCATGGACGTGGAAAATGGGGGGGGCAGCAGCACCCTTTGTTTGTTTGTGGAAGACTGACTTTCTGACTTTCTGCTCTGTAATTACCAGCGTTCTTGCTGTGTGATTACTTGGCTGCTTCTTTGTGATATTTGTTTAAATTTGGTCTTTTGTTATACTGTTGTACAGAACACTATGTAAAGGATTTACATCATAAATAGTTGATGTAAAGTATCCTAGGCATCCAGACTAATGAAAAAATACAAAAACATGAGTTTTTCACACTTTCAGCACCCCCACCTGCCTGGACAGGAGTGAAGAGTTTAAAAAGGCAGAGACCCAATTTATTTAAGGTTTTCATTTCAATACAGCTATAGAGTCACTGCATTTCATTGCAAGCTTACGGGGTTCTTCCCATTGGGCCTGGCTTGTTGAGGTCCTTTAGGTCTCTCAAAATGCTTGGCAGGCTCAGGATGACGGATTCCAGGCACATCAGGCTTCAAACTAGGAACCTGTTTGAAGCAAAGAACAATCGCTATGTACAGTAAATGACAAATAAACTTTCAGTTTATGGTATGGTTCTGTCAATTCTATATCCTTATCACAGTTTATTGCCTACATTTGTGTTTCCCCATTATCACAATATCTGATAGAGTTAGATTTCAGCATACTGGCACTTATAAAGTTAAGCTAGATCCAGCAAGCGTAATGTTTCACTCATGTTTTGCCTTTCATTGTTGCAGATTTATATACGTGGAGGTTCTGTTGTGTTACCTGTCTATGTCTAGATATGTTTTGTTGTATGTAATTTGTATGTATGTAACATTCTGTGTCATTATTTTTATTAATATGACCCCCTTTATTTTTTCACTGACTAATAGTGTGACACTATAGATAGTACTAGCTTAAAGGTATGGCATACTAAGCTAACACTCACATTTGACTTTTGTGTTTTATTTTACATAAATTTATATTCTGTGTCAAATATTTTATTACAATCTTCTTTGTAACATTGTTGTTTTTCTGTGGAAATGGTGAGTGTCACAGTTATTTCGTTTTTTTCCATTGAATATCGTAATCCACTGGGCACCCCAACATTAATGATAATTATATAAACTTCAGCTTACTGGACCTCATAAGGTTGTCTTTTTACAGGTAGCATTAAACACTGCTAACTGCTAGCTTAAAGTTATGGTAAATTAAGCTAATGTTCCTGTTTTGCTTTTTTTCATTTCATTTGTGTAGGATCTGGAGTGTGCATAGAGGTTCTGCTTTATTACCAGTCTCTGTCTGGTAAGTTTTGTTATGTATAATTTTATATTCTGTGTCATACATATATTTTATTACAACCCCCAACCCCTTGTTCCCCATTCTTTATCACTATCCATTCTGTTTCTTTTCACAGTTTATTGCCTGTATTTTGGTTCCCTCAATAATCTGTCTTCACGTTTAGATTTAGATTTCAGCTTACTGGCACAGATTTGTTTAGATAAGATAAGCAAATCGTGGTTTACCTTTGAAGCGGGCAGTTTTATTTACATTGAGGTTCTGCTTTATCATCTCTCTCTTTGTCTGATAAATGAAGATCATCTCTAAAGAGATCCTGGTATAACAGCATCTTCATGATTATCCAACACAACGCAGAAGCCACTAGTTACATAACTATAAGTAAGCAAACAAGCATGAAAGCAAATTGTATTTATCTATGAACACTTTTCTAAACAGAAACTAAGAATGGAAGGGGAAAACAGTTCGTCTATACCAAAGTATAAATATACTCTGTCTCCCAACACCTCTAAAGTTCACTGCTTAACACACAATGCCTTCACAAACAGAATTGTCAAAACAATTTGTCGGTTTAAAGGGAGTTGAATAGAGTAACACATTCATCAATTGATGAGCAGGTTCATAAAACCAATAAAAAATATTTTGTTTTTGAAAGAAAGTTAATAAGAGCATTTCCCAAAAGATTCCTTTGTTATTCCTTTAATGAGACTTTCAGACTGAACAACAAATAAGAACTTTTTGTAAATACCTGTCTTTTGCCCCGAGTAGAAGCTTGAGTAAGTGTCCCTGGTTGGCGGTCTTTCCCATCACTCCCTTTCATGGGCCCGCTTGTGTTTCCATGTCCTGGTTTCCTAGAAGGCCTGTTTGGGAGCCATGCGGGCATCTTATGTAGCCCCCCCCCCAAGCAAGAAAAGACTCTGGAATCACTTATTATCTCCAACAACCACGTCATCATAATTCACTATATGACTTGAAACACCACATACCGATACTGGGTGGCCAGAGTCCCGTCCTGGGCCATGCATCACCGACGTGTCATTGTCACCACCCTAAAGAAACAGGTAACTCAATGAGAAATACTTAACACGCAGAGGGTAGAAGCAGCCCTGGACCTATGTCTATTCATGTCTATTCCCTGTTACCTTAGAGTGTGCATCCAGCTTAGGTCCACCTGTAGGCCGAAGCTTTTCATCCTGCCGTGGCTTCAATGACAAAATTATAAATGACCAGTTTAAACATCAAGCCGATCTTTTACTGTGCACTTTAAAGGTCATCACAAAGAATGAACATATTTTTACCAACAAAAGTAATACTCACATGAGCAGCCACTGCTGATAAAAGTAAAGCTGCAATACACAAGAGCTGCATTGCTTCTGATGAACGTTCTGAAGAACAAGAAGTCACTAACTGTAACACCTGAGATGTACGTGATGTGCGATGTATGTGAGTGGCCCATCGTTCATTGATACTTATATCAGACATCAGACATTGCGACACACCACACATTTCTCAAAACAACACATCTTAATCACACTTAATTACGCGCAAAACAAAATATTACCTCACACATTATTTGCTGTCTTCCTAACTGACTTTGATCCCTGTTATTAGCAGTACATGGAAACAACAATGATGACTGGAAGCAATGTTTAATAATGATTAAATTATATAATTGTAAATAAAAAAATCTCTTTAGATAATTTTTAATGAGTGTACTGTACATATTTATTGGGGAGTAGAGGTATTGGGTAGTCGCAAGTAATTTCTCCATACATGATGAGGCAGAAAGAAATACATGCTTCATTGGGTGTTGCCTATTACTTGGCAAAGCCACTAAGTCACTTGATTTGTAATCATAAGACCAGCTATTTTCATGTGTGGCATCTGGTTTTCTGATTTACCAACACTAGGGTGGAGAAAGAAAAGAGCAAGAATCTACATTACTTCAACATAAAAACTACACAGTTTTAATATAAAATGTTTTCTGACTGTACTAAATCTAAATTTTAAATTTGGATTTTAGACAAATCCAATATATTTTAGGAAATAATTTCCGGCATGAGTTATTAAATGAATGCTACATATCATATCCAGGGGACTCGTTAAACAAAATGATATCCTATCTTATCTTAATTTAGGGTGACATTAGGATAGGATTTTGGTAATACAGAATCATATTTCCTAACTGCATTTAGGAAAAAATCCTATCTTATGTTAGGAATTTAGCTATTACTGAACCATCCTACCTGAAGAATTTCCTAAGTAAGTAAACCTAAGTTAGGATGGCATAGACCCTGTCCTACATTCAAAATACCGGCCAAAAATCACAGCATCACTGTTGTTGTTGGTCTGTATGGCATTTACAATGAAGACTGGGTACAACATGAACACCAAAATATAAAGATTGTAAGCCTACTCATATAGTATGATGGCGCTTTACACTTCCTAGACCATGTATTAATGTGTATGTATTAACTAATTAAATTAAATTTGATCAATGTGCTGCATCTGTTCAAATTTTTATCCTTGGCTGATAATTTGGAAGAAAAATCACCAAAACGGGGGATTTACTCTCCTCCACCGTCCAAGTTAAGATAAGATCAGAGGTCTGAGATAGAATAGGAAACAGCCATGAGTTTAGGAATTGCTTCTGTGAAACTTAAGATAGGACGAGCAGTTAGGACATTTGTCTGTAATGAGGCCCTGTGGTTTCTGTCTCTGATAATTAGCCACACCTTGAAATGTGGACGTGAAAAGTTTCCTAATAATTTGCAATTTCCCAACAATGCTGTGTCCTAAGGAGATGACATATGCCCTGTAACTATATATAAGGAAGGCTCAACATTCATAGCAACCATACAACAACCTGTGACCATCTGCAAATTTGTGAAGACTTGAAGGTACTTATCTTTATCTTTCGTTTCTGTATTTCCCATGTGAGGTCGGTGGGATGGAGATTTTGCTGATGTTTTGGAAAAGCCGTTCATCTGAGAAAGTCTTTATCATTTTCTTTTTAACAGGTGTGATCACTGTAACCATGCTGAAGGTAGTATTTGTGCTTGGATGCCTCCTGAGCCTCGCACTGGCTCTTCCCGTAAGTGTAACATTTTCATACTAAATATCAATACCAGCATTCTTATATGTTGATACCATTACTATTATTGTAATAGTATAATGCAAATGTCATCAAACTTACAACTTGTGGATTTTTCTACAGATGGACACAGAGCACAAACGACTTGCTCGGTCAAGGTCTGGCTCTGACTCTAATTCAAATGAGGTGAGCACTTTCTCTATCCACTGCAATCAAATATTGAACACATCTGAATGTCAAACTCTGCTGCACTGCTGTATATCTGACAACAAATGTTTCTGATTTTCTTGAAGCGTTTCCCCACCTTTCCTAGGATGACTTCGCAACAGTGGCTTCAGCTCTTTTATAACATCATCCAGGCACAACAACCTGCTACTGCACCTCCGGCTACAACAACAACTACAGCTACAACTACTACCACAGTTGCCACTACAAAATAAAAATCAGTACTGAATGATCAGCTTTGTTTTGTGGCAGTTTTCCTATTTCTCTTTTCAAATTGAAATGATGTTGTCTTAACCATAGTGTTGTCACAGTCATCATTGTAGTTCAATTAAACGTGGATGAAAGTCACTGTATTCTCTGTACTATCTTCTAAATAAACTTCATAAATGGAATATGTGGACCAAATGTTTGTTTTTCTTAAAACCCTATGTATGAAACATGAAGAGAAGTTATCAGTTTCATCATCCTTCACTGTTTCCCAAGACCTTAGAGCCTGTGTCTGTCTGACTCTTGTGAGGACTGTGGTCAGAATGAGCCACCACTTATATGGTTTCATCACATTTCACACCATTAATAGAAATATTGTATAGCAGTCCCAGCTGTCTGGGACCAAAATGTTCATGTCAGCATATCGATACATGATGAGTTTACAGTTGCTGATGAAACACTATTAGACACTATTAGATTGTTTTGGAATTAACACCATCATTGTAAGGAGCTCTCCAATTTTAAACAGCACTGCTAGGTGTTTGAGGAATCCTTTCAAATGCTGAAACTAGTTATCAATGACAGCACTGTCACAGCTCAGTGACAGCAGTGACAAAAGCTGCAACACTTTCTAGTTTCTTCAATTTTTGTGTCCATCTAAGCATAATACTTATAGTTGACCTGATTTTGCAGTACCCTTCCTCCCCCAGTCGCATTCCCACTTCCTCAAACACATTCATTGTAATTCTCCAATAATCCACCAGGTGCCGTCAGTCTTTCCCTCCTGTCCACATCATCTGACTGGCACACCCAACTACAAACATGTGGTACGTTAAATCTGAAAATAAATTAATGACATATTGCCTTGAAATTGTGTGAAACGGGCTTTGAGCTATGTTTTCTATGTTAGGTGGGTGTGTCAGAGCTGCTATCCAATCAGCAGCGATGAGTGCATAAACACAGCCGTATTAAAAAGGCAGAACAGTGCAGTGCATTTGTGTAACAGGGATGACATGGGCGACATTATGCTTACAGGAAAGGGGTCATTCAAATTCAGATATACTGGGTTACATATTATAGGCTCTAGTGTATGTAGTCCATTTTCCTGCTATTTTACATATTAATCATATTGCAGTCTTAAAGTGCTCATTCCAGTCATCCTTTGTTGGAGGGTTTGGCTGTAGCCATATCTGTTTGATAGGTTTATTTCAGATATATAACATATATAACAGATATTCATCGTTTTGTTTCATTCGTCGTTAGCTTCTCTAGGGTTTTGCACAGGTACAATGTGAAAAAAGAACAATCTATATCCAAGAGCTACCTTTTCCCATTGATTCGGTTTATCCAGATAATAATCCAGGTGTTGATAACTACCCAATATAGATTGTTCAGGAAATTAAATTGTATTCATTCCAAATCTTTCCATGTACCTCTGGAGTCTGTCAATTGATTGAATACACTGACCATGTTACATTGATAGTGACATAACCTATATATCATCTAGAGGCAAGCTGAGAAAACAAGTGATGATGCATACAATAGGTATTTTCTGTAAACCATCAAGCATTTTTTGAAAGAACCTTGCTTAAATATTATTATTTTTAGTGACATACAGGCATACATTGACTTAAAGGGGCAATATGTAGTTTGCAGCTGCCACTAGCGGTGCGGTTTTAAGATTGCAACCAGGTGTGTGCTCGTAAATGTGTTTGAACTAATGCGAACTCAAGCGAGCAGAATCCAAAAAACAATGGCTTTCAGACAGAGATCTTGCAATAAATGTGGAAAAAATGGGTGTGCTGGCTGTGGCTTTTCACACAGACATTTTCTGTAGGTTACTGTAGTGAATGTGTTGTTTTATATTATGTCTATCATGTAAGTTACTGCGACTGAGACGGTGGAGAAGCTATGTTCCTGAGTATGGGTAAAATGACAATAAATCTAAATTGAACTTTAGAAAGCAAACAGCAGTAGATCTGTGCTAACAATTGCATTAATTAATTTCACTGAAGCTTTTATCCAAAGTGACTTATAATTGATATATATATGTGTGTGTGTGTTAGAGGTTGCACACCCTGGAGCAACTAAGGGTTAGGTCTTGCTCAAGGGCACATTGGTGGATGTGTCACAGTGGGGGATTGAACCCGAGTCTCTCATACCAAAGGCATGTGTCTTATCAACTCCTCCATCACCTCCCCACATTGACAGATGGCTGTCCCTGCCTTGCATCACTGTGAGCTAGTAAGAACAAATACTTACCAAATACATAGCATACTTGCTTTGTACCGTTACGTAAGTTCTTGTAGGCTAAAATCAACTTTGATAATATGGATTGCATTAGGCTAGCTGGTGGAGTAATGTGGGAAGCCATACAACTAAGTTATAGTATTTTGCCCGGATAATGTTAGCAACTAGTCTGCGTTAGCCGTGATGTAACTTCACCCAAGTAAAGCAAAAAGTTGCAATAAATTTCACATGCTTTGCAGTAATTAGTTTACCTGTCCAATAGGATGAGCCAACACTGAGTCGGTTTTGTCAGTTTCAAAACAAAACGGATGTCTCTCAGTGGCTCCAGCCTTTCTGATGTTGACTGTGTTTTCATCGGACATCATCTGATTATGGTTTGGCTTAATAGGCTTCAGCACATAAAACTTTGCTGTTGTCCTCATGTGGAGTTTGTGTTGAAATCTGTGTTGTGTTGGGAGTTGTTTGTTTTATGGTGTTAGTGGACTCGTTAGCTGCGGTGTTGTTGCTGTAATCGAAGAGCGGCTCAGGAGCATTCATGTTGCTACAACCTGACCTGATACCTTTACATAAGAAGCAGAATAGTGGCGGTTCCAAACAGGCACAATGTTCAGTTCTAAGTGAGGTACCAGCCAATTGACAAAAAGGCAGTAAAAAAGTGATTTATTAATAAGTGATTTTTATTGAAAAACTACATATAGCCGCTTTAATTGGAAAAGGCAAGACAAATAGTTGGGAAATAGACTGTAGTGTAGTTTTATTTTTTTCCCCTTATTTGTGTGGATGGATAGCGAAACATTATTTTTTACAACCTTAAACTGCATTACTGTACTACTACATCACTATGGTAATATTTTAAATGATTTCTTACAGTTCAGGTGTGTCTCTAATCGTTACCTGACCTAGCCTACTTATTTCCTCACCTTGAAATGTGGAGGCGGAAGATTTCCTAACAATTTGCAATTTCTCAACAATGCTGTATGCTAATCGGATTAGATCTGTTTCTGTAACTGTATATAAGAAAAGCTCACTACATTCAGAGCCACATTACAACAACCATCTGCAAGACAGTCTGCTGAAGTTGAAGACTTGGAGGTAAATTAATCTCTTGTTTCTGTATTTTCGGTGTAAGGTTAGTGGAATGGATTGCTAATATTTTGGAAAAACTGTTTATGTGAGAAAGTCTTTCTTATCTTTTCAACAGGTGTGATCACTGTAACCATGCTGAAGATAGTATTTGTGCTTGGATGCCTCCTGAGCCTCGCTCTGGCTCTTCCCGTAAGTGTAACATTCTCATACTCACTATCAGTACCGGTGTTCTTATATGTTGATACCATTACTATTAGTGTAATAGTAAAATGCAGGCAACATCAAACTTGCAACTTGTGGGTTTTTGACAGATGGACATCGAGCACAAGCGACTTGCTCGTTCAAGGTCTGGCTCTGACTCTGATTCAAATGAGGTGAGCACTTTCCTCTACAATCCAACATTCAACACAGCTGTCTGTCAATAACTGTAATATTACTTCGAAAATCCTGTGCTGACAATTAATGTTTCTGTTGTCTCCAACCAGCTTTCTCGTCAACAGTGGATGCAGCTCCTTTTTCTCTACTTACAAAGACTACCTACTGCAGCTACAACTACACCTACAACTACACCCACTACTACTACTACTACAACTCCAACTACTACTACTACTACTACTACTACACTGGCTACTACTGCTGCTCCAGTTGCTACAACCTAAAGTCACAAATGTACCCAGACATCAATAAGTGAATGTAACCCATTATTATATGAATTTCTGACATCAGTTTTATTTTGTATGGGTTTATCATGATTTGTTTAAATTTAAGTGATGTCTTAACTAGAGTGTTTTCACAGACATTATTTGAGTTCAAATAAACATGTGGATCGAAACCACTGTATTCCCTGTAGTATCTTTAAATTAACTTCATAAATGGAATAAGTGGACCAAATGTGTTCCCGATATATGAGAAACGTTTCTGAAACTGTACAGAAAACTGGGTATCATAAAAATGATAACATAGGTTTTTGTGTATATCATACAGCACAAAACAGCATGAAACAGCACTTGCATCACATCCAGTTTCAACACCTTTACTGTTTCCCAACAACTCTGAGCCCCTGTCTGTCTGGCTATTGTGAGGACTGTGGTCAGAATGAGCCACCACATACATGGTTTCATCACATTTCACACCAGAAAGGGAGGGAGAAATACAAAATCTCAACCCACTTTGACTGGTGATTGGATGACTATGGGCTAACAATGGCTATAAAAAGTGGATTTGGACAGATGGAGAACCACTGCAAAATTAGACACTCTAGTGGCTATTATTAAATAACTAATAATTTGACCTAAGGTAAGAAAGACTATTTCCTTGCTATTTGTTTTGTAAATAATGTTTTAAATTAGCAGCTGAAGTCGAGTCCTTTTTGTACTTTGCTCTACAGAGGATCACACCTATCCCAGCTATGAATCTGCTGGTTGTGATTTGGTGCTTCACAGTATTGTGTTCCTCCCTCCCTGTAAGTATATCCACGAGTCACACGTTCTTTAATTGCAGTGGCGATGTTGTGATATTGCTTTCGATGCTTAATGGAATTAATTAAGGTATGTCAAAAGAGTTTTTGATGAGAGATAACTTTGTTATTGAAGGTTTCTGAGGCGAAGAAACGGGTCAAACGCTCAGATGATAGTGATGAGGTCAGTATCTGAACACATGCTGCACCCACTGTCAAAAAAATCCCACACACTACAACACAGTGTATCTCTGTATAAAATCTGCTTTTTCTCTTCACTGTTTTGAAGATGTATTACATGCAGCCTCAGTTCCAGCCATTTCCTGTACCCATTCCAGTGCCATTCCCAGGGCCTTTTGTTTTCCCATTTGCCATCCCGCCAGTTCCTCCACAGGTCATCCCTCCACCTTTCATCTTTCCACCTGTCATCCCTCCAATCGGAAAATGAGACTGGCTGACTGGGAAAACCTGACTTTCGTGTACACTAACTCTAAATATTGTCTAGCTAAAATGTCAAAAATAAATAAAGTAATGTGTGAATAAGTGATTGACTTCCATGTGTTTTGTTCATCTCTTGTGATCTCACGTCGTGCTACAACTACTACTGTAGCTAATACTACAGTTGCTAGAACAGCATTGAATGACAGATTTTTTTTTTTTACGTAAGCTTTGTTTTGCATCAGTCAACTGTTTCTTTCTCTTTTAAAATTCGAATGATGTTGTCTTAAACACTTTCATACTCATCAATGTAGTACAATTAAACATGTGGATCAAAATCACTGTATTCTCTGAAGTATCTGCTAAATAAAGCTCATAAATTGGAAAACGTGGATCAACTATGTTTGTTTTTCTTAGAATCCATATTTATGAGAAACATTAAAGGTAGAGTGAGTAGGATTTGTCTGTTGCTGTTTGTAAACCCATGATTCAAAGTTGGCCCCTTCCCTTTAGACAGAGAATGAAAGAGAGAGAGCAGCTTTGTTGAGCGAGCTAGAATGAAGTGAATAAAGAGAGGGCGCAGCATTAGTGAGAACAGAGCAGTGAATGACAGAAATAAAATGTTATTTTCCACGGCGGTTACATTCTAAAGCACAAATGAACAAATCCACACCTTGGCACAACCCTGCGAGAAGGAGCCACATGGCTGATTTTGTGTAAATGCAGCCTAAACCACGCTTCGTCCTCTCCCCTGACCTCTGTGTGTGTGTGTAGCTCAGCATCGCCCTCGGTTAAACAGACACACAAAGATCTCTAATATCATAGTCTGGCATAGCCAGAACTATCTATGAGACAATGCAGGCTGAGGCCAGGGTCTCTGCAGATACCGACATCGTCACAGCTTCTAGTGGGTCATGAATGACTGAGAGGGATTATTTTTGTATTAGTCTATACATATCTTTTAGCAAAATCCTGCTCATTATGAAACTGTGTAGAAAGGTGTGTATCGTAAGTAATGATTAGATGGATTCATAAAGTTTCAACACCTTCACTGTTTCTCAATTCCTCTGAGCCTATGTCTGACTCTTGAGAGGACTGTGGTCAGAATGAGCCACCACATACATGGTTTCATCACATTTCTCACCATTAATAATAATACGTTAGACTTGTTCCAGCTGTTTGGGACCAAAACATTCATGTCAGCATATCATCATACAGTATGATGAGATTACAGTTGCTGGTAAAATAAGACTTTTAGAAATTAACACTGTTACTCAACACATTTTGGAGTCACAAAATATATTGTATAATGTTCTTCTAACAGAACTCTCTAAGTTGGTAATTTTACCCTGGTTTCCCCATATATAACTCCAGGCCAGATTCCATTTCCCATTTCTGTTTGACGTAGACAGTAGTGTAGTTAAAGGAGTTTTGTATTCTACTGGACAACAAATTGGCTCAGGGAATATGACAAGGAGGGAGTAACAAGGAAGGACAAGAGATTTACTTCAAATAAATGTATTTTATCTGTTTTCCGATTTGCCAATATTGAAGGGTGGAGAACAAAGATACTGAACATGCAGTGGTAATAAAAAATGTTTTCTGACTACACTAAAACTAATATTTAGGTTTGAAAATCAGACAAAGCCAATGGACTATAGCATATTATTTCTGATATGTGCTACTAAATGAATGCTACACATCATACAGCCTAAGATAAGATAAGATAAGATTCAATTCAATTTAATTCAATTTTATTTATATAGCGCCAAATCACAACAACAGTTATCTCACAGCGCTTTTCATAAAAGAGCAGGTCTAGACCGTACTCTATGATGCTGATAGACTTGGGGACATTCGCTTGTTACAGCAGCTCCAGATACAACACAACAGATAGAAAAAATTACACATTAAATTAAAAAGAATACAATAGAAAAATACAATATATATTTAAAAATTGAAAAATAAGAGAATAAGAGTTATATATACACTATATCCAGATGCAATTGATATGAACATTGCACAGGTCGCAGCAGGAGTTAGTGCCTCATTGTAGAAATAAATAAATGTGATTGCACAGGGCAAACATATTTACAGCAGTATAGTGCAGAGTAAAAAATATTTATGTACATTATTTACATACATATATTGTATAATTATGTATACATAGCCTTGGTGTGGTGTCTGTCTCTAATAATTAGCCACACCTTGAAATGTGGAGGTGTTATTGCAATTACCCAACAATTCTGGGTGCTAATGGGATGACATCTGCTACTATGTTACTTGTCCAAATCCTTCCACTTACCTCTGGAGTGCGTCTATTCAGTGGTGAATGTGTTTAATAGTATTAATTTATTTTTAGTTTTAATTTATTACTTATGTACCATCTAGAGACAAGCTATTTTGGGGCTTTCACATAATATCTCTTTTGTCTGTAAATCATCAAACATATTTTGAAAGAGATTGAAACTGTGAATTATTCATATTTTCAGTGATTTACAGGCATACTGACTTTTAATGGAAAAGGCAGATATTTTAGTAGCTTTATACTTTGTTACACTGACAAATGGAAAGTCAGACTCTGGGGTTGTGCTGAATAAGGAGATATCATGCAGGTGGGATAAGGACACGTGGAAAGGTCCTAAATGAAGACTAAATTGAATGCATAAAAAGTAAGCAAATGTTTACCAAAATGAACCAGGAATTAGAGACAAATCCAAGTGACTGTATTCATTATTTCTGAAATTAAATATTTAATCAATTGTACTATACTGCAGGTGTGTCTCTAATCATTACCTGACCTACCTATTTCCTCACCTTGAAATGTAGAGGTGGAAGGTTTCCTAGTGATTTGCAATTTCCCAACAATGCTGTATGCTCTGCTCCTGTAACTGTATATAAGAAAAGCTCAACATTCAGAGCAACACTACAACAACCTCCTCGAACAGTCTGCAAGAAGGTCTGCTGAAGTTGTGAAGAAAGTAATTATATATATCTTTCATTTCTGTATTTGTTTGTGTGAGGTTAGTGGGATGGACACTTCTTTTCTTTTTCTTTTATTTTAGAAAAGCTCTTCATTTGAGAAAGTCTTTATTATTTTCTTTTCAACAGGTATGATCACTGTAACCATGCTGAAGGTAGTATTTGTGCTTGGATGTCTCCTGAGCCTCACTCTGGCTCATCCTGTAAGTGTAACATTCTCATACTCAATACCAAAAGTGTTCTTATATGTTGAGATCATTACTATTTTCAAGTATCATGCAGTCAATCTCAAACTTGCAACTTGTGGATTTTTCTACAGATGGACATGGAGCACAAACGACTTGCTCGGTCTAGCTCTTACTCCAATGAGGTGAGTGTTCTGTCTTCCTAGATTCAACATTCAACACACTTGAATGTAAGTTTCTGTAAAATACCTTAGTAAATCACCTGCTGTATGTTTGATAATGAATGTTTCTAATTTTCTTTAAGCGTTACTACTACCGGCCAATGGCATATCCAGACCTTTTCCAGTACATTCTTGCCCTTTACCGCCTCCAACAATCTGTTACTGCACCGCCTGCTTCAACTACTACTACAAAGTAAAATCTGAAATGTAACTAGAGATGAATGAAAACCAGTACTGAATGACATACTTTCGACATCAGCTTTGTTTTGTGTCAGTTTGTCATGACAGCTGTTTCTTTCTCTTTTGAAATTTAAATTATGTTGTCTTATCTAGAGTGTTGTTGCACATTATTCTAGTTCAATTAAACACGAGGATCAAAATCAGTGTATTCTCTGTAGTATGAGCAAAATAAACTTCATAAATGGATGAACCAAACATGTTTGTTTTTCTTAAACTCTATGTATGACACATGAATTATCATAGACATGATTTGATAGACATTTTAGATGACAGTTTGGTTACATCTTATATGCACATATCTGTAGTCCATTTTCCCACTATTTTAATCTATTGATCATGTCATTGTCTCATGAAAGTCAGTGTGCAGTTCAGTCGTGGTGTTCTGCCAACAGAACTCTCTTGAGGACTTGGTTGTCTTAGCACGGCCTTCCCATATATCATTTCAATTCTTTCATCTATCTCCAGGCCCGATTCCTTTGACACAGACAGTATTGTCATTTTTGGCATTTTTGTATTTTATTGTATATTTGTGATATTGATGGACATACTGTTTGTGTGTGGCAATGTATTGGTACCTTGGTCTTCTCATGGTTAGATCTACAGAACATGACTAAATAAGGACATGAGGAGAAAGTCTTTGGAATATGGATACTGTAGTTTCTGTATAGCATTCTGCTTAATATAAAGTCTTGAGTTGAACTCAGGCGGGTTCATTGTTCTTTGTCTTTCTAATCATCACAAATGAATAAAAATTAATTATCATTAATTCTATAAACATCAATGAATATATTGACCAAGTTAGGTTCACTATCCCCTGTTTAATTTATTTACAAAGTCCTTGAAGATAAAGAAGAATTTCTTGTCATATTTTATATATATATGTATTATATATGTATTTAAGAGTTTTTGAAATACATAATTTGATCACATTTAGGACAAACATATCAATAACTGGAAGTGTAATCTTTTCTTTAGCCCAGACCAAAATTTACCAGTGGACTCAATATTTAGCTTTGACTTTTAAGGTAATTCATAGACTGAAGTCAAATTTCTGTTCCTGCTCTAGAAAGGATCTAGAAAGAGTTTTTTCAGCTATGAAAGTGCTGGGTTCCTGTAATTACTCATGTCACCTGTGACTTACAATATTATAGTTAGTTATATATAGTTAAGTTATATATTTTCAAAGGCTGTATGTTTTTATGCTACATTCAATTCAAATTTAAAGCAAGTAATGTGAACTTATGCAACAGCTGGTGATATGAAACTCTTAACTCTCATGGGTCTCTGAGGAGACTGATGGAGTCCAAAATTCAGGGAGTCATGAGGTCAGTATCTGTGCAAGAGATGGTCTTACCCACAAAATCCTTCTTTGTTTTCCAAATCAGTCAATATATATACTTCAGAGTCCGTCACTCTATTCCAGCTATCAACCCAACCGAGCCTTGACATTTTTACTGCCATTTCTGTTGGCAAGTGTTGCCATTGGAGCTGCTCCACCTCTTCCTCCTCCAGCAGGAAAATGAGGAAACAAACTGGCAGAAAGAGAAAAGCTGCATTCTACATATGCTAACTATCTATAGTTTATTTTCATGTTCAGCATTTTTCCTAGAGTAACTGAAATTGAATAAACAAGCTCACAAATAAATGATCAAGATATCCAACACTTGTCTTTTTTTCAGAAGCATTTCAGAAGCATTTGACCATTCTGCTTTACATACAATTTTCCATATGGCAAGTTGATGACTAACTAACATCACACTGAAATTTAGTGATAAATGACAATAGTAGCAGTAAACACAGTAACCTTCTGGAATACAACAAGATGTCAGGGCAGTCTGCAAGATGCAACATGAGAACCTGTGGCTTTGAGAAAAACGTGGTTTTGTTATTGAGTCCCTAAATCCCAAAATGTGCAATACTGAACTGGCAGAAATACACCCCCTCCCCTGAAAGCTGAATTTTTTGAAAGATGACTCTCACATCAGCTGTGAGAGAGTATATGAGCTTATCAACCATAGTGTGTCCCTGTCACACGGGGCCTTAGAAACTCTTCAAAGATTTGGTAACTCTTGGGTGTGGATGAACTCTTTCAAAACTGGATTGGTTTAAGAATCTGTTCAGCTAAAAAACAAATTGATAAACTAAAAACTAAAATCTACTGATGACCAACTGGTCAACTTTCAAGGCTTCATTTACTTCCAATGCTGCAGACCTGCAGAATAACATGAAGTTGTCACTTATTTCTCAGTTTTGCTGATCTAAACTTTGTCGTTACTTTCTTTGGTTATTCTGCAGCAATGGGAGTAAATGAAGCTTCTATTAGTAATAAATACATTTCTATTCGTAAACACCCTGAAACAGCCTGTGTTAACACACTCCAGAAGCTTTATTTGTACAGTATTGCAGCTAAAAAGGCAATTAATGAAGGAAGACTGACCAGTTGGTCATTGGTTGATCCTACAGTGAAATAATTAACACAAATTCTTACTTTAATTGTTACTTTTATAATTGAAAATAAATGTTTTGGGTGATGTAAATGTTGTTTTTAACTTTGCTGCTTACTTTTGTACCATTAAGTTTTTGCTGGACTAGATCTAGTAATATTTCAATAAAAACTAGAAAAATGGGGTGTAGTGTATAATTGTAATTATAATTATTATTAGTATATGCAGAAAACAGGTATTAAATACATTCAACACTTTTTCATACTGTTACTGGGTGATTTTGACAGAATCAAATATCATGATACACCTTCTTTTTATATTTTAATACCTTGATGTCAATAATGTGATAATATGAGTCAAAAAAAAAAAAAACACAATTAAGGTGAATGTGACAATGAAGAAGGTAGGTGGCGATTTGATTGAACAGTTTATTTAACTAATCTTTTATAAAGTGTTTAATTTGTTTTTAAACAGTTTAAGTGGGTCAATTAATTGTAGTGCAGTTTCCTGCACATTCACTAACTAAGACCATGGCAATTAAGGTATAACATGTTGCTTATTTGTTAGAGAGACGGTTTGAGGATGAAGGGATGAAGGGGTTGAGGAGGTAGGTATAAAGGGGTCAAGAAGGTAGAGATGAAGGGGGTTGATCTGGGTTGTGGTGGCCGGAGCGACTAGTAACCCAGGCATGTCTCTATAAGCGTCTTGCTTATGATTCCCCTGTGGTTCCTGTGGTAGAAAAAGAACAATTACTTTGGCGGAATTATGAATTTTAGCCTGCATGTCTTTGATGGTGGGAGGAAATGCCTAGGAGCGCCCAGGGGAAACCCACGCGCAAACACGGGGGAAAACGTGCAAACTCCACACAGTAAGACCTGGGCTGACCAAGGTCTGGACCCAGGATCTTCTTGCTGTGAGGCCCCAGTGCTGTCCACTGGGCCACTAGTTGGCTTGTTCATCTCTCAAAACGATCAAGCAACTCTGTTGGGAAATAGAATTCAATCTTTTGTCTAAAGTACTGGTTATCTGATGGCATTGTTGCTGTCTTGATAAGTTAGTACAGTAATTAATGTATGCAACAATTGCTTGGCATGGGTTACAAAAACTAGTTTGGACACATGTTTTTCTGCTTTGCAATGACAATGAAAAACATATGAGGCAATCTCATGTCATCTGTGATTGGTGGAAAGAAACAACATATGCCACACTGAAAATTGGTTCTGCACTACATTGCAGCATTGTTTTTGTACAACAACTGAAAGAGCCAAACATCAAAAAAGGTAAGGATAAATTCTACATGAAGTAACAATACAAACAGGCCAAGATAGGCATTCATCTACAACAGTCATTTGCAGTGATTGTACATGTAACAAACTGTTTTGATTTTGTTTTGTTTTTTAGATGCAGGCATTTGGAGTAAAGATTGTTGCTCTGGTTGTGGTGATGATGCTGGTCTCTAGCTCCTTGGTAAGCCATGGCCTTTCTGTAATAAATTTTCCAAAACAACTAAATTTACAACAAGGACACATTGGAATATTAAGTGTTTACTTTTAGCACCATTTTACTAAAATGTTTTGCCTAATTTTAAAGGCTAGTCCCACCAATGTGATTGAGAAGCGCTCAAATGAGAAGGTCAGTATCTAATTTGGATGAAAAGATGCTAAAGGATTTTTAATTTGAACTACCATTGTATGGAAGAGAGAAATAGAGATGAAATGAAAATATACAAGAAATAAGTTCCTGCATACCTTTTCTTTTTTTACTTTTTCGCCCTACAGAGACGCTGCACTTACATAAACAACAACTTACTCTTCGGCCAGCTCATTGAAATGATCCAGATGCTGAATTTTATGAAAGCCTTGTCTCCTAAAGCATGAAATCACAAAAATAAGCAATAAAGAACCTAAACATAAGATAAAGCACTTCATTTTCTCCTGGTCTTTATTTTCTGAGTATATGACAGTGGATATCTGGTTTTACAAAAATACACTTGTGATTTTAGTTTTAGTCTGACATGGGGACAAAACTTTTTGAAACAACAGTTTTAACAGAGAAAATAAAAAGCTGCATGGGGGAACAATCCTGCCACCAAGCAGCTGTTATAGTTGGCTGCTATAGCACATCAGGCTTCAAGCACAGACAAGAATTGCCATAGCAACCCCACTGCAGGAAATTAATATATTTCACAAATGTGCAATGTCATAGTAATGGCTCAGGTTTGTGTATGACCCTGAGAGCTTTTACCTGGAAACAAATATAAAAACATAAAAATGCAATCAACAGGTTATATGTTTTCCCCCAGACCTGTTTGATTGGATTGATCACATGTGCACTGCTTATACACACACAGTACCACAGTAATGAAACAATTTGTCCCCAGCTTAATGAAATCTTTTGTGTTGCCGCATTGCACACTGTGTCAGCAGCTGTTACTGGTAAACTGGGTTTCCTCCTGTGATGCATCTTTACCTTAATTTCGTACCAGGGATGAAAACCATCATTTGACATTTTATGGCTTGTTTAAACAAAGGCACTTAAAAAAGTGGCAGTTTTGCTAATGAGAAGAGAGCAGATTCCTATGTGATCTTATCTCAGCTGAAGCTACACATTGTTACCTGTTTGTAATGTGAGTTAATAAGCAAATTCTTCACAGAGAGACACATTTTACATTAGCAGGAGCAAGAGTGGATCCTTTGCAATAAATGGAAAAAGACCTGGGTAGTGGCATGAACAGAATTGGCCATAATAGGTGTGAACAGAAAAGGAAAACTTACTGAAAGTCAAATTTTACCAACAAAATGGAGATGAAGACAACATGCACATTGTTTGATTGGGAAGTGATCTCAATTAAAAATCTAAATACTCTGCAAAAACAATATGCTAATAAAACAATTAGCAATTAAAATACCTCTAACACAGATTATGACCAACAACCACAGATTTTGCCAGACTTGCTGTGCAAACACACCAAATGGAAATTGTAGATGTATCTGGGCAATTTTATATAAATCTAATGCGATTTAACACACGTTTGGATTTGCACAATACTATAATTCTGACTCAGTTAGTTTTCTGTAAAGCTTGGCTGTGTATTATAACAATAAAATTCATTCAATTTATTATCATATTGAGTAACTCATGCATTAATAATTGCATTGAGTAACTCATGCATTACTAAAGATAATGTGAAAACTAAACATCATAAAATCTGTTTCCAAGATGATGTTTTATGAGCTGCTTGTCAACAGTGTGTTGGTCAGATTCTTTCCTGATTCATTTAGCTTTTGTCCCCGAAGAAAAACGTCTTTGTTTTATGATGCATAGACTGAAGAGACTGCATTTTTGTTATGATTTTTCTTTCCCGGTGAAACATCCAAAAACTAAAATGTTATCATGAATTTAAAATGTTGCTAAATGGTGTTTTCACTACCTTTTGCTAATTTACACCTTCTTTGACATGCTGTAATGTCATGTTCACATTGCTGGGGAAAAACAGCTTTTGCACATGCCTCTGCCATTACAGTGTATGCAGTGTGTTGTGTGCGCGTGTCAAATTTGTTGAACTTTGACCTGAGGTTAGTGCACAAAATTTTTGCAAACAAGTAAGTGTTTTTAAATTCAGCTGTGCAACAAATGATGATGATATCGAGATCAAACCGACAACGGGCAATATATCAGCCCTCAGATTTAGGTACAACTTTTGTTACAAAGGCATGTTTACCTGTGTATAATAATCTAACTACTGTCAGCTTGCAGCCCATGTAGGTCTTTAAAAAAGTAATTTCAACTCGGACAAACTAACGGTACTTTTTGCAAAAAGAACTCAGATCACGATGCTACAACCAGTGTGGTGTGAAGCATAAAGTTTTACATACAGGAAATGTGTTGGCCTCCACATGTTTGCCCATTATCATGTGGAAATAAAGACTTTAAATCTCTGGTCGGAGATAAACTCTCTGGATGACACTTGCAACAGGTTGTGAAATTGTATGACTGCTATAGAGGAAATAAAAGAGATCCACCACGAGTAAACAAGATAATTACAGTATTTGGAAATGATTGAGCAAGTGTTGTTTTGCAGGTGTAAATATAACCCTAGGCAAACGAAATTAGGCTACTGTTTCACAAGTACAGAGCGCTTCAACAACATTTCAATCTTCCATGACTTTGAAACAAATATTTGAAATTATATTATTATATATATTAACGGGAACTGTATATGAAGTTTGGTAATATTCTGCATTCAACCCTGAATTCAAATGTTATTCTTTAAACAAAATGAATTTGTGTGTGTGTGTGTGTGTGTGTGTGTGTGTGTGTGATCAGCTGTACAAATTGGGCTTGATTCAGCATGTTTCAGAAAGTCTATGAGGATTATAAAATGTTACAACTACACAGTGTAGTCGGTTAATGAAACTGTGTTCACGCCTATTTTGGTTTTGTCTACAGAGGCTGTCATGAGACCGACCACATCTGACGTGAAGTAACACACCTTTAAAGTGCGAGAGCAATGTTGGCACAACGAGGTTGTTTAAAAGCTAATGGAGATTCCTGAAGAGACCATTTTGAAGGTAGTGAACACTGGATTAATATTTAATTCTTTATTATTAAGCTGTAACTGCACAGTGGAATGTAGGCAGCTCTAACTATCAAAGGATTTGGAATTACAGTTTGAAGCGCAAGATGAAGCTTTTTCTTCTGATGATTTTCTACTTGCTCAATTCCCCCAGTGCTGTAAGTACAAACAAGAACGTATACTATTTACCTGCTATAGTTTTTATGACTCAGCTAATATGAAAAACAAAACCAGCATTTTAGATAATGTTTATTTTTGGCAGAATTGTCATCATCATGATAGCAGTGACTCACACAGTGAGGAGGTAAGAATGAATTCTCTTCACTATAGCAGTGAGTCTGACAGTGATGAGGTAAGAATTAAATCAATCATATCAGTATCAACTATAGTGAGATTATGGCAAAACACCTAGATTTTTAAATGTTTTGTGTTTATTTTGTCTTGGTGCAGAGGGGCAATTGGTACCCAGGATTTGGGAACAAGCTGATTCCTTTCTGGCCTCTGATTCCTGTTCTGTGGCCGCAGCCACCACCTGCTCCTGCCCCACCTCCACCTCCAGCACCTAAACCAAACCCAACAACAACCACAACCACAACTACAACCACTACCACAACCCCAACCCTAGTGGTTACTACCACTGAGCCTCGAGGAGACGAGTAATGAACTGTGCTGATCTGAGAGAAGGAACTGCAGATTGAATTACTTTACTTAAATTCTCCAACAACAGAAATTGTACTCAATGATTGGAAATGTATGCTGTATGTGTGTTTTGCATTTATATATGTATTGTATATGTTGTATTTTGCAATTTTTTGAACGAATTATTCTGAACAAATTGGAAATGGTTTGACACACTGATGTAAATGATTATGAACAATTGTCTGCTGTTTGCTACATTATCAATTGCTTATATCATACTGATCACAATGTATTATACCAGTCTCTGTTGAATAGTCTTAGCCCCCCAAAACATCTAGGCATAAGTTCATTGCATAAGTCACTAAATGCAAAACTGTTGAACACGTTGTCAAAAATCGAAGTTAAATAAAAACTTCATTCATATTCTTCAAATACAAGTATATAGCTGAACGAAATGTTGTTTTGTACGGCCCATAAACAAAGTAAGAATAGACAACATCAAATCACAACATACTACAATAGCAACACTCCATTCACAAGACCATTCACCCACAATACCATACACAGTAAAGAGTAACAATACACAGTGAGCAGAATAGTGAATAGTGAATAGTGCAAATCGCAAAAAAAATGTCTAGTAGCCTTACATACATTGTAAATGTATCCAGAATTGATGAAAATATACAGACGGCAACATCAGCCAAAGGGATCCCATATCCCATGTATCCCATTTCTATGTTATTATGCTACGCAGTGCTATAAAACAGTCCTGTCTTTTTCTTTTCTGTATTACAATGACATACTCTGTCAAAAAATCAGTATGAACAATAAACAAGCATAACTGTGATTCCTGTCCTGTCTCCTGCAATGTATAACTTTGTACTGGTGAAAGTGATGCCATTGGGATGTGTGTATAATGTGCAGCCTTGTGCATTTTCAATCATTGTCATCAAAAACTTAGCCAAAAAAATACATCAGAAAATACTTTCAGAGTACACTGTTATATTGACAACATGGCTAAATATTTTGACTATCTTATTCGTAAACAATGACACAAGGACTTGTCATTCTGATGGCACTGAGAAGTTCACTGACCTAAATATTTACTTTTGATAGACAGACTAAGGTTTTTGAAGTTATGGGCTTTTGCAGGAAACCACTGTGTTGTGATGTTTGTGCTGCCAGTTTAGAGAAATGCACTTACTGTTTTGCAAATGTTAAGGATGATTCGAGAAATATACCAAAGTGACTGAGAAAAACTGTAAGTTTCAGATTGATTCAGGGGCCACAGTCTCAGTCACCAGTGAGGAAAACTACAGGAGGACATGGGGGTCCAAACCTCCTCCCAACAGGTCCATGAAGCTAAAGTTCAGAATGAACATAGGGCAGCCCATACCTCTTTTGGGGTACTGTATGCAGCTTGCAACCGGAGGTCAGAGGCTCCAAGCCAGACTGTTGATAGCTAAGGGAAATGGGCCCAGTCTTTTGGGTACGAAAAATCCGTCTAAACTGGTATGAAATTAAATATGCATGTTGAGAATTATTGTGAGCCAGCTGTCAGGTGTGAAGAAGTTTCGGAGACTGATGAAGACTTAATATAGCATGGTTTATTGAGCCAGGCCGAGGAGACACAGTGCCAGCATACAACATGTGAACACATCAAATGCCAACACCATATCTGAAGGATAACATCTTGTGGTCCCTTTTATGTTTCTGTCTTCCCCCTAGTGCCTGTAGGTTTCTCTATTAGGTCACCTTCACCTAGAACACCTAATCTATCTGATGTTTAGAATCCAATGCTTCGTCATATTGGAATCTCTCACTATCCAAGAGTTGTACTCTAATCTGTGGAGCCAGTTAGTTCTTGTAAACATTCTTGTATGGCTCAACCTTGTAATATTCCCAGAGAACATTGATATCTGCTAGTCTGACGTCTGAGCTACTGTCTCTAGCTAATCAGTCTATTGTTGTCTTCTTGACAAGGACAAGTACGTGTGAGAAATACCTAAAGCTATAATGTCAAACACTTATGGGGTCAGCTAAATTATAAGATAGACCTGTCTTACCTTTCCCTGTTACATCAATTAAGACACCTAAGAAATATTCTCAACAATGCACACACAACTGAGGACATTCTGCATCACTACAGTGACGTGTTTAGAAGCGCACTAGGGTGGTGCCTTGTGTTTTGAAGGGCAAAGTTAAGGAGGAGCTGGAAAGGTTAGGAGTAACCATCATTGAACCTGTCCAATTTTCAAGGTGGGCGGCTCCCATTGTCTTAGTTCTGAAACCCAATAAAATGGCAAGGATATGTGGGGACTATAAGCTCATAGCTTTCCCCCTGACAGCTTGTGACGCTGTCAGGGGGAAAGCTGTTCACAAAGCTGAACATGAGCCACGCTTACCAGCAGCTACTGCTGGACAAGGATTCAAAAGAGTATGTCACAATAAACAAGCACAAGGGATTATTCAAATATAATTGCTTGGTGTTCAGAGTGGCATCCAGCCCTGGAAGTTTCCAAAGGATGATGGACACCTTGTTGCAGGTAATCCCGCACGTAGCAGTGTATTTAAATAATATTTTGATCACAGGAGCTATCTAGGCGGAACACCGTGCTAACCTAGAATGGGTGTTACAAAAGCCCTCAGATGCAGGGTTGAGATTGAAATGCATCGTGTATTTTTATGGCACCTATCTGGGACATGAAATCACAGCTGAGGAGCTCTGTCCAGTGAAGGACAAGGTGCATGCTATCAAGGATGGCCCAAGCCCCAAGAGTGTCACGGAACTTAGATCATTCCTTGAGATGGTGAATTACTATGTCATGTTTCTGCCTGACCTCTCAAAGGTTTTGGCCCTGTTTTACAAGCTGTTGCAAGCTGATACAAAGTAGCAGTGGGAGAAAGAGCAGGAAGAGGCTCATAAGGAAATGAAAGAGCTTCTTCACACAATGAAGCTGCTGGAGCATTATGATCTAGTCAAGGATATCAGCCTCTCGTGTGATGTCTCACCTTATGGAGTGGGGGCGGTGCTCTCACATGTAATGGAGGACAGGTCAGAGAATCCTATTGCCTGGCCATTGTTTTTGAAGTGAAATGCTTTCACCAGGAACTCTATGGTCGTGCATTTAAAATCTGTTTGGACCACGAGCCACTGATGAGCCTGTTTAGTGAGTCTGTAGGATAGTTGCATCTTCTGGGGGACAAGGGTTATTGTGCCGGCCCCTGGTCATTCACAGATTGTGGAAGAACTACATGAGACTCATCCAGGTTTGTCCCGGATGAATAGCCTTGCAAGATCATTTGTCTGGTGGCTGAAAATTATGTCAGGACCATATGTGCCTGCGTCGTAATACAGGCAAAGAGACGGTCAGTGCTCCTGAAGTTCCAGAGTGGAGACTGATTTATACCTCTGTGTTGGGTCTACGGACGTAGCTACGTCGAAGGCTACGCACATAGCCATGCATTTATTGTGCGTCGCTGTCTCTGTTGTTCTGCAATTACCCCGCCAAAGTGCTACAGCATCCACTCTGTTGACTTTTGCCGGCCGAGCAGGCTAACTTCCGATTTAGCAATCTGCTAACTTGAATAGGGGTAGAATTATGTGCGGCTGTTAGACTTTTCAAATGTTATCGACCGAATGGATCACATTCTGATAGTGAAACGAGTCATTTTGCTTGGGTTGTGATGCTCAAATATATTGATCCACCATGTTACAGCCGCTTGTTTTGCCGCTAGTAACATTTACTTCAAAGCACGGGGGGCACTTCAAGTCACAGTTCTTACGGTTCATGTTGCCTCGATGTGTAGGTACAGTATTGAGGTGGTGGGTGTCACGCTACGGCGTATGGGTATGGGGCTACGCAGAGGCTGTGCCATTGATTCAAAGCAGAAGTATAAATCACACTTGACAGTGGTGGGTACGGATCCACCAGTGGGCACATTAGAACCAGCAGACGAGGTGGCTGTGCCCGCTACAGAGGATGGACAGGCACATTTTGAGGGAGTAAGGGGTCCAGACCAGGCTTTTAAAAAAATGGGTACTATGTCAAGGGGGGCTGGAAGACACTCTCTAAAACTGGTTAAAACGATCTTGTTGATAGTGAGGGACCTCTGAGAGAGGCAGAGGAGGTAATAGAGGCTCTGACTGATTTGACTGAATTTTTTTAAAAAACAGTTCTCAACCTTCAACACTTTCAGGTGAGGCACAATAAGGGGCTGGATTAACCAGTTGATCCACAGTCTTAAATAAAAATCTAGGATTATGTTGATGTGTAGTAATGAGTTCAGAAAGAATGTGTGTTCATGCATCCTTAACCATGTTATTGTAGTTTAATAATAATTGCTTCATAATGAGGTATTGAACTTGGAGACTGGATTTTGCAGTCAGTGGATTGTTGTCATGTAACGAGCATGGATTAGTTCAATGTCAAGTTGATAAAAATATTACTCTAATGTTGCATGGGAGTTTATCTGAGTTTCCAGCATTTTTTGTGATGCCGTCTCTTGTTATGCCTCTGTTTTGGCTGACGCCAAGTACTCACTCATGAGTTTGAGCATGCGCAGGAGCACACGCTTGTTTTGCAATCTGAAACTTCACCGCCAGAGGCCACTGAAAGCTACACATGGCCTCTATGCTTTAAACAAAAGGAAGGTGTGTGTGTGTGTGTGTGTGTGTGTGCGTGGTCAGCTGTACAAATTGGGCTTATTGGTTAATTCAGCTCAGCATGTGTCAGAAAATACTTTAAGTCTATGAGGATTATAAACAGGATGTGAGCATTTAATGTTACAAAAACACAGTCTAGTCGGATAATGAAACTGTGTTCACGCCTATTTTGGTTTTGTCTCCAGTGGCTGCCATGAGACCGACCACATCTGACATGAAGTAACACACCTTTAAAATGCGAGAGGAATGTGAAAACAAGAGGCTATTTAAAGGAGTTTCCTGAAGGGACCAGCTTGAAGGTAGCGAACAAAGGCTTAATATTTGATTCTTTATTATTAAGCTGTAACTCCACTGTGGCACGCAGGCAGCTCTAACTATCAAGGGATTTGGAATTACAGTTTCAAGCGCAGGATGAAGTTTTTTCTTCTAATGTTTTTCTTCTTGATCAGTTCCCCTAGTGCTGTGAGTACAAACAAAAATACTCTGTGCTGTTGTTTTTATGAGTTGTAAATAATTTTCAGCTAAAATGAAAAACAAACCCAGCATTTTATTTAATGTTTTTGCAGAATTGTCATCATGGCAGTGATTCACACAGTGACGAGGTAAGAATGAATTCTCATCACTATATCAGTGAGTCTGACAGTGATGAGGTAAGAATTAAATCAATCTTATCAGGTATCAACTATAGTGAGAGTATAGCAAAACAGCTGGATTTTTTTTATGTTTTGTTGTGTTTATTTTGTCTTGGTGCAGGTAGGCAATTGGTACCCAGGATATGGGCCGAAGCCAATTCCTCCGCCGTCCTTCCCTTTCGGGCCTCTGATTCCTGTTCTGTGGCCTCAGCCTAAACCAAACCCAACAAAAACTACAACCACAACCCCAACTACAAACCCAACCAAAACCCCAACTACAACCCCAACCAAAACCCCAACCAAAACCAAAACCCCAACCAAAACCCCAATCTCAACCCCAACCAAAACCCCAACCACAACCCGAACTACAACTACAACCACAACCCCAACTACAACTACAACCACAACCCCAACTACAACTACAACCACAACCACAACCCCAACTACAACCACAACTACAACCCCAACTACAACCCCTACCACAACCACAACCATAACCACAACCCCAACTACAACTACAACTACAACCACAACCCCAACTA